GAACAGTATTTACAAAGGTATGGATTCATTAATGGATAAATTAATTTATTCATCACATCTGTATTGAATAACCTCTATGTGCTTGGGGCTTGGGATTTATCAGTGAACAAAACAGATTTTAAAAAATGTCTGCCTTTGTGGGGCTTGCATTTATTTTAGCAAGGTAAAACAAACAATAAACATAATAAAGCAATAAATAATATAGAATGCGAATTGACATTTGGGGGAAAAGAAATAAGGTAAGGAAAAGAATATGTGGCAAGAGGTTTCTTGCCATTGTAATTTGGGTGATTGGGAAAGCCCACACTGAAAACATTGAGTGAAGTGAAGGAGCCAGTCCTGGGAATAACTTGGAGAAGAGCATTTGAAGCTGAGCAACCAGGAGTTGTCTGGTGTTTTGAGGAAGAGCAAGAGGGCCAGTGAAGCAACGTGAGAAAGGGGAACAGTGGCAGGGGATGAGTTCAGAGATGTAATAGAAAGCCAAATCTCATTGGGTCTTGTAGTCCACTGTGAGAATTTTAGCTTTGAGTCAGAGTGAGGTGGGAGCCATTGAAGGGCTCTGAGCAGAAGATCGATGTGAAGAATAGACTGTAGACAGGCATGTGTGAAAGCAGTCTATTTAAGAGGCCATTTCAGCAATCCTAGTGAGAGATGATAGTGCCTTGGTGTTAGCTGAGGTGGTAAGAAGTGGTCAGATTCTGAATATATTTTGAAGGTAGAACCAAAGAAGACTTTTTCATGGATTGATATGGAATATAAGAGATAGAAAAGTCAGGATGACTCCAAAGGTTTTAGCCTGAGCAACTGAAGGATGGAGTTGACGTCAGTTGAGAGGGAGAAAACTGTGAAACAGGTTTAAGGTGGGGATGGGGAAGAAAATCAGTTTAATATTGGGTGTGTTAATTTTGAAATGTCTATTAAAAACCCAAGTGGAGGTATCAAATAGGCAGTGGCATATATTTCTAGAGTTCAGAGTAGAGGTATGGACTAGAGATAAAATTAAGTATCATCAGCATATAGATGTTAATTAAAACCATGAGACTGGATGAGATCACCAATGAAATGAGTACAGACAGAGGAAGTAGTGAGCCTTATCTTTGGGATATTCCAAAGACAGAAGTCCAGGGAAAGGAGGAATCAAAAAGGAAAACTGAGATGTGAACAAAAAAGTAAGGAAGAAGAAAGGCTAAAGGAAAGTTGTGCAAGTTAAATATATCAAAAAGTACATCGAACAGGAGGAAATGCGCAGCTGAGTCAAATACTGCTGAAAGGGCAAATTAAATGAGGACTGAGAAGTGACTTGACAATGTGTAAAAAGGCAGTTTCAGAGGAGTGGCAGGAATGAACGCCTTATGGGAGTGGATTTACGAGAGCAGGAATTGGAGGCAGTGAGTATCGATAACTTTAGAGGTGTTGTGCTGCAAAAGCTGATTTTGCAAAAGATGAGCTAGATAATGATCATGGTTCAAAGAAATACAGTATGAGTGTCAGATAGTATTAAGTGCTTTCTTAAGGTTCTGATCATCAATATAGTGAGATGAGCCACCTTGTTTTCTCCAGCTATATTCAGCTGAGTCCAAGTGCAGAGCAGGGATGTAGTTTTGGCAAATGAGTACAATGGAGTGAGAGGCAAGTCGAGGGTATATTCAAAGAGAGTGATCATGATTGATACATAAATAAGCTGAGTAAGGAAGGAAAACTGATCGAGGAGGTGAGGGAGATGGTAATATTTCTAAGATTCCCAGTGCTGCTGCTGCTGCAGTCCAAGGACTGCATACTTTGAAAACTACTGATCCATGTGTGTGTTGAAATTGCCAAGAATTAAGTATTTTGGACAGTGACAGTGAGCCCGGAGGAAAAAAACTTTCAAGAGTAGCCTGGCAATTGGTAGAAAACAATCAGGGGCAGTGAGCATAAAACCTGATGACGAGATTTAATTAAGTCAGAGTTTTTATGGGGACTGGTTAGAAATTGTGCAGCTGAAACAACGGTTGGTAGCAAAATGAGATTAAGGCAACATTAAAGGCAGATTGTTAAGGGCCTTGCAGGTCAGTATTTTATTAGTATCAGGGTCTTTTATTTGGTAGGCAGGTCTAGTGTAAATTCCTTGCTAAGGGAATCTCTGGTAGAATCACTACTGTATTCACCTCACGTGATCACAATCGTACCAATTGATGTTCTGGTAGAAATAAAACCACACTAATTAAGAAATATTAAGTTCTACAAAGCTAGATGTTGCTATGTAAGATTAGGTGGCCTGACATCTGATGAGACAATGAAGCTGAACAAGCTTGACAAGCCTGAGAATATACAGAAAGTAATACAGAACGAAACTGTGACAATACAAAGTAGCGAAGTCTAGAAGGTGGTCAGGAGTAAAGTCAGGGTAGACTATATAACATGGGATCATCACCTGGGCCCAATTCGTGGTTCCATCGCTTATAATTCATGGGATCCCAGCCAATTCATGCAACATTTCTGCTTAGTTTCTGACTTGTTAAATGGGTCTATCATTTATGCCATGTGCCTCAAAGGAAATTTGAGGGCTAAATGAGGTAGTCAGTGCAAGTGCTTTGAAAAGGTACAGTGCAATATAAATATAAAATATTTAAAAAGTGTTGTGCCATCTTTAGAAATACTGAGATACTTAGGTATGAGAAAAGTGGAGAAGAAACATCCAAAAACAATGCCGAGGTGTATAGAACAAAAGATCAAATATGTAATGTGGAGTTTCACATTCAACGTGGTCTTAAAGCCTCATAGAGGCTTTGCTGTTTGACATCTATGTTGAAGCTTATTTTCATATAGCAGTGTCCTTAGGAAGCATACCTTTGGACCACAGTGACTGATATTTGTCTAACTGGCTTGAACTTCAACAACTATAATCTCCCGTCACGAAGCTTACTATCTGTATTTCTACAATGAGTAAAATGCAGGACCACATGCAGTCTCACATGTACCTAGTGCACGTTTCTATCCTAGCTTTACCTGGAATTGATATTGCTGGCTGATGATACACTACAAACTGAGGGCAGGGATGGTGCCCTGTCAAAATCTTTCGATGGTTTTACATTCAGTCTTTAAGATAGTCCCATCCTTAATATGGCATAAAATGTACTTCATGATCTGGTCCCCTTTACTTTTGGTTTTACCTTACCATCCTCTGTACCTGGTGATTCAGCCATACATAAATTCTTTCAGAACCTCCAATGTGCCAGACTTTTGCTGACTTAATAGCTTTTGCACAGGCTGTTCCACCTGCCCAATGTGCCTTGTTCCTTTCTTCTTGGCTAATTCTTAAGTGTTCTGGTTTACTTTAGATATTAATTCTTCTGACAGCCTCCCTTGAACTCTCTTCTCAAGTCTGGGTTAGACTCTTTCAAGCATTACCTTCCACTCCTCTCATTATCACACTTCCCACATTTTTGTAACTGCATGCTTAATTACCTCTCAGCTGACCAAACTCTTGTGAAACAGGTATACAGTCTTGTTCATGAATGTTTCTACCATTTAGCACAGGGCCAGATTTATAAGGTACGCAATAAATATCTAAGGTAAATGAAATTGTTAATGGTAAACACTTGGCACACACAAATTCAGTGAAAGATAGCCTAAATAGTTTTCTATTATAAGACATTGGGGTTTAGGAGGGCAAAAAGTAACAGGCCTGGTGAAGTGGTCACTTCAAGGAACCCACTGCTATTTTAACTTACAAATATTTTGTACATGCACTATTAGCCACCATACATATATCAGAGATGTACTGTATGGCAGAGGAGGAGGAGGTAGTAGTGAAGTGAGTAGTAAATGTTTATTTTGAGAACTTTCTGGGGTGACCATGTGGTTAAAATCACATTACAGATCATAAAAAGTTTTTGGTTAATTTTAATACTCACTGCATGAAATAGAGAAACTCATAAAGATCACCATTACTGTAGTAATATCTTTTTCAGTCTTCTGCTATGCATTTTTTAAGTTACTGAATGCTTTTTGAAAGGAGGTAGTTTCAGTTTTGACCAACTGTTTATGCAGAGGCAGTATTAGGAATAACTTCATATTTCAGAAGAGTAGCAGTCTCTACAGAGACTTTCTTGTATCTCACTTAGAAAAGCTGTGCCCTTTTTAAAGCTAAAGCAGCAGTGCTCTAAATGCAGTGAGTAAATCTGGGACTGATTGTATAAAAGTTCAATACGATTAAAGGATTAATACTATTAATACTATATTGTGAGCCATGATGCTTTTCCAATATGCAATCATCTTCTGGTTATCATCAGCTGGTACTGCATGTTTTGCAATGGCTACGAGAGAGTTACAAAGGATTCAACAAGTACCGATGAGCCATTCATAGACGGTAAGATGCCCAGAAAAGCCAATGAATAATTAAGTCTCTCCTACTCCTCAATAAAATGGCTCAAGAAAACTACTGATAACCAAACACTTCTATTTATTTCAGGACATAATATACTTTTTAGACCCCTGGATGATACTGAGTTATAACCCTGTATAAATAGCCACAGGGCATTTTATTTTTGTAAAGATAGGTTCTAAAAATCATAAAACCAGATAGACTAATAATACAAATATAAAAATTAGATTAAAAATGTAGGTCACAGCTCTTATTCACTCTGTCCTGGAATTAAAGATGTTACAAAGATACATACTTAGAACACCAACAAATATCCCAATATTTAGACATAGGTGTTATCACCAAAAAGGTCTTTCTCTAATTTTAGCAAAGAGAAACCATCCAAATTTTATTCTTTATACTACTGACATGATTTGACTTTGGTACATGGTATTACTATTTCTCCTAGCAAGTTCTAGTTTTCTCAAGGCCTTTTGCAGAAATAAAATATATTTTCAACCTTCAAATTAAAATGTTATCTTCATAAATATATTGTACCAGGTTAGTATATTCACATATTCTTTCCAATTTCAGGCTAAGCAAAAACAGGCAAAGCAAAAGACAATCTAACTTAATTTCAAGAGAAACCATAACATTTCATCCAGTGTTTTATATAGAAAACATTGATTTTGACATTTCTTATTTTATTCAAATACCAGTCTGCTCATACATGATCCAAGAACATGCAAATAATAAACCAAAAAGAAACAGATGTTAAAGATTGATCTTCAAACATTATAGCCAATGATGCCACGCTTCCCTATGATCTCGCCAACATAAAACCACATCCACACCTCGGTGGCCACCAAACCATTCAGCAGAGCTTCCTGAAAAAAAGCATAAACTTTAATGTACATTTTTCCTTACATATTTAAAACTGTTCTTTTCCAGGATTAAGTGACAGAATATGAAGATGCTATTCAAATTAGAGGGCAGTTTTAGTCAAAGTCAAGAATTACTGATGTTAACTTTGTTCAACTGCTGAGAACCCTTGAACTTTCAATTATGTAAGGTAAGTAATCCAGAGCTTATAAATTCTTTCAAAGCATTCTTTAAAGATCTGAACTGACTTAACACTTTCATTATTAGTTTATGAGACATTTTATGAGCCCTAACAACAACCCACATCCTGGAAATAGCTAACACATTAAGACGGGCATTCATATGAATGGATGGCTATGCTATGGGAAGGCAAGTCTCTGAATAGATATTTCTGTCTGGCCAAAATAATCAAAAGACAAAGGGCTCTGGCTTCTCCTTTAGACATCATTTTTATTAATTTATTATCTGGCTTAATTAACCCTTTCCAAGTATTCAGTTATTACTCAGTTTCACAGATCAACGTTCCATTGCCCTGAAGAGAAAAAGTACACACGTAGTTCCAGACAAGTTACACAAAAGCGCAAATATGGTAAAAAAATATACCTTTCTACAACAAAATTGAGCCTTTTCCTTTTAGTACCTGGAAGTGAATTTTCCCCTTCAAATTAGACCAGAAATATTGGAAGTTTCCTGAAAAATAACCATACTGTCCAAGATATAGGCACTAAATAATTAAACAATAATTTAGTTATTTAGGGTTTTTTATTCTATGCTTGGACCACAAAGCAAACATAAAATACAAGTTCCAATTCTTAAACTCTAAATTTTATCTTCACACAATTCAATATTATATGCTTGCTAGGTTTTGGTATTTTTATCTTTCATATGAGTGTTAGCTGCCTGACTATGATATATTCTAAGAGATCTTTGGACCAAATTGGGAATAGTTACTACAGATGGAAAAAAAAAAGTACAGAATCAGCAAGTAAGCCATCCTATTTTAATATACTAACCAAAATAGGATGGGAAAAAAAAGTTGCTCAATAAAAATGCTCACTTCTTTGTTATAAGATTAATAGGAAACTAGGATATATAATAGCCCAATTATTACAACCCAGATAACAAAATTAGAGACGTAAATATCTTTCTTGGCAGTCAAGAAAGAGATTATTTCTCATTATGTTGGTTTCAGCCTCACTGGAAAACATATACATTAATCAAAATGATCAGAAAAATCCCAAGGGAAGACATTTTCTGTTATGTACATACGTTTTCATTTAGCCCATAGTTACCTTAACTGTGAGCTGTTTGAAGCTACCAGTTTGAGCGCTATTGACTATTTTTCTCAAGCTCTGAATAGCTGTAGGGATCTCAGCAGGGGTTGGAGGAACCAGTTCAACCTTGGCATAGTGCCAAAATGTGGCCAATCGTGGCTTTGAGTAAGTCACAGCAGCTGGAAAACAAAACAAAACAAAACACCAGGATGAACTCACTAGAGACCGAAAGAAGCAGATGTGTGGGCTGGACACAAATATTTATTCATGCATCACATTCATTCACCACTTGTACTAAATGTGCACCCGGTGTGAAAAGTCAAAGCTGCTCCCTGGTAACAAGAGGCTTTTAAAGATGAAGAACACCTGTGTCACAGGGCAGTTCTATCACCCAGGAAGCTATAAGCACATTAAATTATGCCAGAACTTTACCAGTGAGCAGCTAGAACTGTTACTTCATTTATGACTGGCAAATCTAGTTAACTGGAAAGTCACTATAAGTGACTTTCAAAACCAAGAAAACAGCAGCAGTGTAACTATATTTTCTTGGTAGAGAGACCAGAAAATTTGAAAGAAGAGGTACAGAAAGGGAGGGAAGGAGCTATGTAGAATGGTATACTTAAGAATAAGATTAAATTTTGTCACAATATTGGCCACAAATCCAGATGGAATTATATCAGCTAAGTATCCACTTTTAGTGTCCTCATCAATGTGTACTGGATTAAATATTTCTTTAACAAAAGCACAGTTGATCATCCTTCAAAACACCTTAAATAATAAAAATAAAACCTACACGTATTGTTAAGGGTAGCCAAAACTTGAATCTATTACTAAGCTGAAATTCCTCAAAGTATTTACCATTTCAGGAAAAAAAAGAAAAAAAAGATTTTTAACAACTACTATAGATGTGAGACTATGGTAGTGATTTCAGCAAGAGAAAGGCATTTTATTAAAAAAAATTACAAAAGTAATAAAAACACAAATGCGTGAACATTCATACAGTGTCCACTGTTCAAAGATGGATCCAAGGCTCTTGGTACTTTTCCTATTATTAGTTTCACTACTCTTAGAATTATGATCTCCATTATCCTCTGTGCTTAGGGCCATGGGTCAATCTTTAAGCAGACATAAAGCTCTAAGAAATAGTGCTAAATCGAATTGCGAAAGCCTGAAGACTGGACTATCAAAAAGTATCTCCCTAAGACATACAAATGGCCAACAAATATATGAAAAGATGTTCAACATAGCTAGCTATTAGGGAAATGCAAATCAAAACCACAATGAGATACCATCTCACACTTGTTAGAATAGCTATAATCAACAGGACAAGTAATAACAAATGCTGGAGAGGATGTGGAGAAATAGGAACCCTCATACATTGCTGGTGGGAATGCAAATTAGTGCAGCCACTATGGAAAACAGTATGGAGGTTCCTCAAAATACTAAGAATTGCTCTACCATATGATCCAGCATGGATCATAGTTATTTGCTTCTTAGTATTTTGGAGAAATGGCTGACTCTAAGGCTAGGGCAGGGAAAGTAAGAGTCTGAAGCATCTTGTAGTGCCAGGAAGTAAGGGGGTATGCCAGAGGGACACAGGTGCAAAAGTTGAGAGTTCTCACCAAGAATGCAACAAATTGAGCAACAAAATAAATAACATACTCTTGGAGGTATGGAGTATGAAATAAATGTACATGAGTCCATACAATAAATGACTGAATAAATAAACGGGGAAGAGGTAAATCTTTCTTATAGAAGAATTCCATTTAAATGTATGTAGACACTCCTTCCTACAGGAGATGGAACCTCTGCTGCTGGCTGCATCTACCCTTCTCCCCTCACCCCCTATTCCATACATTGTGGGTTAGACTTAGTTATTTGCTTCTAAAGAAGAGTTAGGAAAGGGAAAAACAGTGAGTGACTCTACAGTGGAGAAACCTAGCAAACATTATCTTAACCAAGTGATGAAAACTAATTTCACCAGCGACATTATATGGGTATCATGTACGATCTGATATGTGTGTGACTGGAGCACTTTACTTTGTGGTATTCTTTCTCAAAATCCATACTGCCAGATTAATCATGAGAAAAACACCACACAAAGCTAGATTGGGAAACATCTTTATAGGACACTCAGGTACCTACATAGATACCTTAAGACTGTCAGGGTCATGAAAGATAAGGAAAGATTGGGAAACTGTCACAAACCAGAGACTAAGGAGACTGACAACTCAATGCAATGTGGCACCCTGATTTGGTTCCTGGAACAAAAAGCAGAAAAACTGGTGAAATCCAAATAAAGTCTCAAGTTTAGTAAATACAAAAAAAAAAAATCATACTCTATGAACTTTCTGAAGAAGTTTGATGATAAAACACTTATCTGTAAGATTCTTTGTCCACCAGGGGAATTAAGAGATAGTGAATTTTGTTAGATATTTAACATTCACATTTAATACACTGAGTTATGTTATCAAGCAAAATATAATTCCACTTTAATATTCTGGCCCCAGTTGAGTTCTCCTTTCTGAGTGCTTTTGGAAGAAAACAAAACCATTATCTTTCAATTAATCTTAATAATAGAGGGAAAAATTTGGCTACTTTGTAATAAAGTTACTTTTGTATTACTTCTATTTTTGGGATTTCATTATTAAAATTAGTTTACAATTCCCCAACACATGCCACCTAAAATATGTGAAAGCCGTGGGAAGAAAAAAACCTACTTGAAACTTAGAATGAAGCTACTATTCCTTCTCTTTTTATTTCTGAAAAATTGTAAATTATTGTTGTAACAGATACAGCCACTTATTATCTTAGTAAAGTTGCAAACTTAAGTTCTTTGGTAAAATGTCTAAACTAGTAGACTGTGGGGTTTTGTAGGAGGGGAAAATGGAATATTTATAGGATCTACCACTGTAAGGCCTTCGATAACACATTGTCTGGCTGCAGCTGGAGAAAATAAATAAGAAAATACCAATACTGCAAAAGTTTCAAAAATATTACAGGTATTTAAAAAGTTCCATTCGCATTTCATAATCAAATTTGAGCGAAAGCTACTTAAGAATTTTGCACTTCAATCACTTACTAGAATATCGTACATCTAGAGAAGAAGCTTCCATCAATTTAACTTATCTCACCTCTGGAATAAAATGAACAGCTTGCTACCCAGCAGACAACTGAAATATTTACTCACAGAGCATACCACTACTCGGGGCTGACTATTCAGGGTTGTTCCTGAAATACAGCTGTCTACCAGTAAAGCTTCAACTTTTTCAAACGTTAAAACCCCATTAATACTAAGCCGTAATAACAGATTACTGTTTACACACGTGCCTTTCTGTATTTACTGGAACAGGGAGGGATACTCTTCCCTGAAGCCCAACTCACCTAAAAATTCCCTCAGAATCTAGCCAGGACAGAGAGCAAACTCAACATTCAAAAACTCATCCTACCTTAAAATTTTCTGTAGACTTTCAAATACTCCATTGAGAACGAGACAACCCGATGAGGCCTAATTTATGTCCTTTCACATATCGCTGCATCCTCCCACCCGCTTCCCTAGCTCTTCCAGCAGAGCCTTGTGCTCCACATTCCTGTTCTTAGAGATCTACGGGGGAATGTAATGGCGGCAGCCGCTGGGCAATGTCAGGCTTACCGCACACTACCTCCCTTCACTGTGGTAGTTAGAATTCAGAACTTCTAGGGTCTATAGAGAACTCTTACTGCAGGCCAGGGAAGTAGAAAGCTAGAGAAGCCGAAAACCTGCCTCCTGCTCTCCCCATCTTCAAGTCGTTCCCGCCCCGGCTTCCGCAGACACCGCAGGGTCCCACGGCCCGCGTCTTCCTCTCAGGCTCTAGGCATCCCGTCATACCCTCTACCTTGCTCGGCAGTCTGACGCCGCGAGCTCACCGTTTACCAGCGCCGGGGCCTTCTCCGCGAGGTTACGGACAAACTGGGCCATAGTTCTAGGATGCGAAGTCCGTAGCCTCCAACGGCCGATTGAATGTCACCCCCCGAAAGGACCCATCGAAGGACCTCGTTCCACTTCCAAGGTCGGACCTCCTCTTTCCGTGCCGGTCCAAGATATTTAGGCGTCCTACTGTCTCTTCCGGAATTAAGCTAGTTAATTTTGCTTCTTTAGTCACAGAGGAAAAAGTGGATACGAAAAGATGGAGCAGAATACACATGGAGAACAATAGGATTGCACAGAGAAACAGGCATTTCTTGGGGCAGCCGCGAATGGAGGCCTCCGAGGCCGGCGAATGGAGGAAAAGCGCATGCGCCCTGAGCCTTCCTTGCTTTCGGTGACGCCGACCTGAGTTTTTGCCGAAGATGCTTTGGCCCTTTCTGAGAACGTGGGGAGTTAGGGCTGGAATGCACCGCTGAGCTTTTACTGGACCAACACGATCATTTTACAAAGGCAGAGAGGGTCCTAGGACAAACATGTGAAAGTTGGGGAACCCGACTCAGCCTTTCTTTGGCTGATTTTTTGTAGTCCCGGTTTTCCCAGCATCCTCTATCAGGATTGGAATCCAATTCCCCTAATTCCCTAACCAGCCACAAGGAACTATTGCAGATATGAAGAACAGAGTCACATTTACTGAGGGCTTCCAGTATGCCAGACATTTTGGAATTTAAAGAAAACCTGTATATTAGTGTCCCCATTTAACACGGGTTTTGACAAAAAGCCACAGTTAGCGGCAGAGTTGGGGGATCTGAAGAGGTTGCAATCTGAACAGAAGGGACATCATTCTCAGATTAGACATGGTGATCTGGGAAGATTTCCTAGAGAAGGAGATCTCTGAGTTGATGTAAAACAACAGCTATATACCTCAGAGTTGAAACTTTATAATTTAACATGACTGTAAAAAAAGATGTTAGGAAAGTGGCATTTGATGAGAAAAACAGAATTAATGTACCCTGGGGAAGCCTGAGCAGAAGTAAAACTGACTGATGTAATGGTTAGAGGGAAAGAAAAACTAGTAGCCGAGAGCAGCATTTTTCTCAAGAGAAGTCAATTAAGGATGAGAAAGTCGATTTGGAACTATGGAAGCATTAGCTAGACCAGTTTCAAAAAATAGAAGCCTGAGGAATGAATGAATATGGCTATAAAGGAAAACAAGTCAGAAAACCAAATAGGAATGTGGAACTCAAGGGAGATTGAAGATAGAGAAGGGGATTGACAAAATCTCTGATGAGGCAGGAAAGAAGGCTGGAGGAATTGGAGCAGCCCTGGAATGGTGGGGCCTTTTCCACAGATGGGATGATGAGAGAATTTTGAAAGTGGAAATTCTGTTACCTTTCCAGTGAAGTAGAAGATCATCTGAGTGTAAAGGATAAGTGGGAGAGTGGGAAAGAATTGGAGTTTCTTCAAATAGCTGGACTAGCTGTTAGGGACACGCAGAAGGGTTATTGGGCAACGTTAGAAACCACAAGTTTGTGGCCGCATCACTCTAAAGATTGTGTCATTTTTCTCCAGTAGTAGTCTGTAGCTTGAATATTAAAGCAGAGGGGATGGCTTGGTTAATTTAGGCTGAGGTCTTACGTGGCAGAGGTACAGCAACAAGGGGCAAGAAAGGGAATGTGACAGTAAATGATTAAAATGAAAGATCTGGGGTTTAGGCCAGATGAAACTGAAGCCAAAAGTTAACTGATAAAACATGCCCAAGACTCATCTTCTGAAGGTAACTCCAGGGTCCAGAAATTATCTGATGTGGTAAGGCAGGTTAGGTCAGCCATGTCACAATTTGAAACTACCTTTAACAAAAGTGAAGGTCAGAGTCTTCTAAGTTTCCAGAGGGATTTCTGAAAATTGCTAGTAGCCTTTAATATTGTAATAAAGTGATAACAAAGGTAAGTCAGGTGTTCATTTATTAAATACAGGCTTTTACCAAATACCCCCAGGCGAGTTTGACAAGAAATTACTTTCCTGGAATGTTTCAAAATACAGCTATGTTGATCAAGTTTTATTTCATTCAAACTTTTTGTTGTTCTTCATTTTCTTTGTTTCTAGGGTGTTTTCCTGTTTAGCAGTTAGAGCATGTGCATTATTTCCATCAACAGGGCAGCATCAGCCTCTAGTTGGTAAAGGTACCCAGTAGACTTCTGCTCTGTGCAATGGCTGCTTAGCAACCAGTATCACATAAAGTAATGAAGCTTTTGTAGAGTGTGATACCAAACAGCAACTGGCACTTGCACTTGCACTATTAAAAAACCTTTAAAATTTCTTTCAGTTTTTACTGAATATCCATTAAAAAACCATATTAAAAAAACAAACCCAGATTGCTTGATAAAACCTAATTTTCCAAGTTTAGTATTACCCTCTTAGCAATATTAGAGCTGATTAGAGTCTTCATTTTCCTATCATATTCCAGCAAAGCCAACACATAAAACTAAATGTCAGGAAGTCTGCCCTAATAGCTTTAGGGCTGCTTCTGAGTTCAAGATAACAAAATACCTCTTTATAAGCTTCTAAGTGCATATACACATTGTGTTTTATGAAGATGATAAATTTTTAGTCTCATTTTTGGGATGTTTTTAAATTACTTCAAACAAAGAAAAAAGGCACAGAGGACACTTGGTTTCTTACCAATAGTGGCCTTAAGCCACACACTTGCCTTCGTGATGAGTTTAAAGATATATTCAGCAGCAATAATGGTGCCATAGCCATTCATAAAAAGTTCCAGGAAAAGGGTTTAAAAGAAAAAAAGCTTACCAGAAAAGGCTTACAATCTGAAGACTAAATACAGAAGTAGAATACAGACACAGATACAAGAGGCAGCATAGAGGTTATTAACTAGAAAGCTGCTGGGAACAGCTTGCCTTCTGAGGTTTCGTGGCCATTTCTCCTCTAATTTTCTCCTATAAAACTCTGGTCTTTTCCTCACTTCTTTTAAAAATGAAAACATCCTATTAGATTGGGTTTGGAAGATAAATCCAAAAAGGTAGAAGCTTAGTTTATAAACAGTTCATCCTCAGAGAAGTAAAGGAGAATAAAAAATATGTCATGAAGCTCATTTTAAGAAAACAAAAAAATTCTCCCAACCTATGCCTTAAAGGCTCAGGGAGCACACTGAATTAATATCTTATTCTCTGGCATCTGTAAGATTCACAGACTTCTTTTTTCATTTACATGCACAGCAATAGGCAACATCTTTATATCTAGTGTGGGATGCCCTCTAATTTGTGACTTTCCAGATGATACCATCAAAAACACATCAAGGAATGTTTACAGAACCTTGGAGTATCACAAAACTGCCATCTTATTTAAAAGATGTCATGGTTAATGATAATGTCCTCTTAATGAAGCGATGACCCCTGTTTCTAGATCATACCACTTTTCTTGTCACTTATATCTTTGGGCTTAGTGGAACAGCATGTTAAGCTGAACAAATGAGTAGGGAACCCAAGCTCAACTTGTAAAAGTGGGGTCTAGCCACCTACTAACTACTAAGTGGGTATTTAAAATGGTTTGTGGACAAGGTTGTGCTCAAATTCCTACTTTGTTAATTGATGACGTAAGAGTGAGTTAGAAGCAGCTCTTAGAATTAAGGTTAAAAGCCCAAACATTAACTATATATATTTTATAGTCTCAGAATTTTGTCTAGAATAAGTGTGTTAGTGGTCACACACTGTATACATCTTACCATGAAAGAGATAAAGTGGCAGTTTACACTAGACCGATATGAAAAAAGCACATGGTGTGTGTGTGTATACGTATACAGACACACATATATACTGTTGATAGTAATGTTTTAAAATAGCATTTTTTTCCTGCTCACAATATTTGTTGCCCAATTTTTCAACTCAAGCAACAGATTTCCATAAGCTAAAAAGGGTCCAACAACCTCCTTTATTCTTTCACCTCAGAATTTTTTGAATAAAGTGTCAAAACTGCAAGTTTGTCTTGTTAATCCCCCTAAAAATATTGCAGAACTAAGTTTTCTGCAGTAATGACAACCCCATGGGAGTGTCCTCCAAGGTATCTTTTGAGTTATGAGATAATTAAAATTAAGAACTATCAACACAATTGTGTAAGATTCCTTTTTTTCATTTCAACTATCATCATATTCAAAGTCTACTCAAACATCAAGGTATCTGCTTTTATGTAAAAGGTTGTTCTGTAACACTGCAGAACTGTAACAAGGAAAAGAGCTGAAGTCCAGGTCATGCAGACTGATAAATACCTTGATAACACAGGACTTTATGATATCAGCTGTCACTGAAATAGGTGACATCACAGACTTACAAGCAGTGCTCACCAAAGATGTTTGAGTAGTTACTGAAGAGAAATAGTAAGGTGGCAGGAAGTTTTAGTATTTGAAGTTAATATAATGTAAGGTAGGAAAAGGAAGAAGAATAGGAAAAGAGCAAACAAAGGATAAAAATTAGTGATTTCTAAACTTGGTGATGCTATAACTATAATTGTAAAGTTCTTAGGAAACTTAATTATCATAATTTGAGCAAGAGCAGTTTTCTAATTTAGTAAAGAAAGACAAAAAGGAACAGAACCAGAGAGAAATCACAAACAACTGTTTATCTACACTCTGGGGTTAGTTTTTGGTTTGCTTAGGTCACAGTATTTATTCAAGTTGCTCCTTTTGTTGTTTCCTCTCTGCGAGCCACCGTTGGATTTTTTCTTTTAGTTCTGTGTTTGGCCGGATCTGGTCCATGGTGAGGGGACTACGGTTAAAGGGATCTGTTTGGTCACTAGGACAAAAAGAGAAAGAAAAATGGGTTATTTCCATAAGTTCTAACATCTTAAGCAAAAACAGAACACTTGGAGAATCTCACTTTGAGAATGAAACTAGAGTGCATTATAACTTTGAATCAAGTGCTGACTTGAGGTTAGAGAGAATGAGATGAGAGAGAATGATTCAGATTTTTTTTTTTTTTTTTGCAGATTATTTAGCTACTTTGTCTTTTTGCTTCTTAACAAACTTTATCTCAACATTGTTGTTCAGATGATAAGTGATTCGATTTTCCTCAGGCAGAGACCCTGTACACTCATGCCAGCATGAAGAGCTGTCTGTATTAAAAAAAAAAAAAAGAAAAAATAAGAGCTGCCTGTAGTTTCGGTGACAAACTCTCAAAATAGAAATAAATTAACTGTTAAAGGATAAAGCCTTATAAATTGACACTATTCGGTAAGCTGATTACTATACAAGTAAATGAAGATTATGGTTTCCTGACAGTCAAGGTTTACAACATACTTTAAGGGCTAATATATTTCCTTTTTTTAAATTCTGAGGCCACAATAAAATATAATTTTTCACTGACACTTTGAAAAAGACATACCACCTAGCACAGCATCATGCATGTAGTGAATGTTTAATATCAAATATCATGAAGTAGAAAATCCTTTTTTCCCTAATATTTTAAAAATAGTATTTCTTTGAATTTGGGTCAACTTACATAACTTAATTTTAAATAGGTAGAGTCTCTTTGTACCTATTTCTACATAATGCTGCACTTAAAGCAGGCATGCTGGGGAAGATTCTGGACACCATGGCTGAGTACAACAGCAGTAGTAGAATGTGGATTAACCCATTTGATGAATATAGTGTGAAACCTGAATTTTAAAAAACCTGTCTTTTATATTTTTATAACTAAAATAAAATTAAGACAATTTTCAAGTCAACTGATACTCCAGGTTGACATATTTTATAACATATGTTGACAGAAATTATTTCCTTAAAGAAGGAGATAAGGTTAGCATCAGCGTTTCTCAACAGAGTGTCTTGTTTTGGATGTTTTAAATCCTTAACAATCAAGTGATACAACTCTACCAATGCCACCCCAATACATTAATCAACAATATGGGGTACCTACTGTGTACTGTACTGTATTAGAAATCTGAGAGAAAAAATGACAGCAAACGATCACACATCTGTACTCTTCAGGCTGCTTTTTTGGGCTGGCATACCTGAGCAAATGTCTGGCAATGGTGGATCTATCCACAGTGACTCTGGAAGATGGCAGCACCACAGGATCAGACATCAGTGTGCTCATGATGGGATCCAGAAACTCATCACAGGCATCTGCATAGGTCTCCTCTTCCTGTTGTTGGAGGTCTGCTAGAGACTGAGCACAAACACCTGGTAGTTGAGGTGAATTCAGAGAGCAGCTGAATTCAAACTGCTCAACGATCATATCTTAAAGCAGCAGTTCCCAACCCTTTTGGCACCGAGGACTGGTATGCCATGAGAATCTAATGCCTGATGATCTGAGGTGGAGCTGAGGTGGTGATGACAGCACTGGGGAGCAGCTGCAAACACAGATGAAGCTTCACTCACTCACCCGCTACTTACTCCTGCTGTGTGGCCCAGTTCCTAACAGGCCACGGACCGATACCGGTCTGAAGCCCAGGGGCTGGGGGTCCCCTGCCTTTAAGGGTCAGTAATAACTATTTATAGTGATGGTGACAAGTCTCAGCTTTATTTTCTAAACAAGCCAAGATAGATATTACAGGAGCAAATTTAGCATTCAGCCCCCAACTCTGAAACTTCAATTTGGCTCAGTGGCTAGCAGTTTTGACTAAAAATGGGTTCAAGTGTTAACAAGAAAAGAAACACATCACATACATCTTTCTGGCAACAATCCTGTTGTAATTGTCATAATTCAAAAGGGCAGGGGATAAAGGGTTATTATTTGAATAATTACAGAGTCACTCATGCAGTCTGTGTATGAAAAGCAGTTTCCGGTTTTAGATACAAACAGGTATAGGAATTTAAAAGTGGCTTTAACGTTTGATTACTTCATGACTCTAGTTCCTCAGGGCCCCACATGGCTAAGCTCTATGCAAAGATAAAGCCCAATTCAATAAATAACTCAATGAAGGGAAGATTGATATTAACAAGGAAGGTTTTCTATTAGACTCTGTGCCATGATTTTCCCTTCTTCATAACTAATAAAGCTCTGTCACACTCCAGCCAAAAGAATTAGCTAAAAATATATTATTTTAACCTTTATTTTATTTTATTATTATTTATGCCTACAGCATCTGGTCTTCCTAGGTGGTCTCCCATGCAAGTACTAACCAGGCCCGACCCTGCTTAGCTTCTGAGATTAGACATCAGGCTTGTTCAGGGTTGCATGGCCATAACCATGGATTGTGGCTCCACTGGGGCGTGAACTCAGGACCTTCTGCGTGAAAAGCAGATGTGCTAACCGCTACCCTATGGAACCACGTCCTAATCTTTAAAATATATGGCTATTCCCATATAAACCAACTACTAAACTACAGAGAACAGAGAAAAATCATTAAAAAACAATGACTAAAAACCACTCATCTTGAATTTTATTCTAAAAAGTTCTTCTGTATTAACGTCATAGATTTTAAAATCCAATGGTAACACTGCAGAAAAGTTTTCATGAAAATAGACAACAAAATCTGTACATTCTTCTCTTCTTAGTAGAAGCTTCTTAAATCAATTTTCTGTTCCTACCCTCATGCTGAAAACAGTAGTATTACAAATATGGTAGTTCTAGTTATTGACTGACCAGGAAGAATCATGTTTATATTTTCTCAAGGCAATGCTTCTCCACTGCCCGCGAAATAGGGTAAAAAGCAGAATAGCTGAATAGACAATGTGATTTTTATTGAACATGTTAATAAACAAATTATCCTCCTTCTCACCTTGATTCTCTCTGCTAAGTTGCTGAAAGCCACAATCATATTTCCAGGCTTATTTATTTTCTTTAGGACTCTGACTGTCTGTGCAAAGAGAGTTGGGGAATAGGAACGCCCATCCTTGGGCACCGTGGCACAGAAATTTTCCTCATCCCTGGAAGAATCAGCATCAGAAATAAACAGAGTATCAGAGGGTAGGTCAATGAGGGAGATAACAAGCTGACTGAGAAATGAGGTTCCCCATCACTTATATGCCGTGAATATTCTCTTGATATAGAAAGATTTCTTCTAACTTTTAGGAAAGAAGCCTATCAAGTTCTGTGGCCTTAAAAGAATACTGATTTTCCAAACAACCAGCAGAATACCTTTGCACAGATCAAGGCAGAATGTTGGAAATTCTAAACAATGCCCCACAGATCATACAAAATCTCATTACTTAAAACTATAGAGGATTCTTTCATCGATCAACTAGAAATGAATGATTTCTTTTCTATTTCCACATAATTACCAACCAGTCATTCCATTATCAAAACCCCAAATTAAAACATTAACACCCCCTCTGGCTTGCCCAATTTAAATCTCGGATACCCAAGATTTAAGTAGATAGTGCATATATCTGATACGAGCTGTTGGGGTTTGAAGTCAAATTCACTGAAGTCCTTGACTTTTAAGGCCCCCATTTTGGGGCCAACCAGGTGCTGCAGGAAGTAGTTCAGCATTGAAATGATGCGCTCAGCCAGAAAAGGATGCACGAAGAGTGATTTAATCTCTGGAAAAAAAGCCAAAATCAATGAAAACTCAATTTATAAGCAATCATTTACTTATGTCTTAGAATTTTACTTGGAGACCTCTTGGGACTACTTTTTTAAAACTGATATAAATAATAAATTTTTATTGCAGTAATATTAGAAATTATAGACTAGCAAAAGCAAACAAAATAAAATACAAAAACTACCACCAAGAAATAAACACTGGTAACATTTTGCTAATACACTTGGCCCTTGAACACAGGTTTGAACTGTGTGGATCCACTTATATGCAGATTTTTTTCAATAAATACTGTAAATGTTCTCTTCTTCACGATTTACTTAATAACATTTTCTTTTCTCTAGCTTACTTTATTATAAGAATACAACATATAACATATATTACATACAAAATACGTGTTAATCAACTGTTTACATTATCAGTAAAGCTTGCAGTCAACAGGGGGCCATTTAGTAGTTAAGTTTTGGGGAGTCAAAAGTTATATGTGGGTTTCTGACTGCAAGAGGGGGTACCCCTAACCCCCATGTTGTTCAAGGGTCAACTGTATATATTTTAACATAATTTTGTGAGTTTGTTTGCTTATTTTCAGAGAACCTATCACTAAATCTTTCTAAACTCTCCACCAGAAATGTAAAATTCTCATAAGATCATTTCTAGCAGTTTTGCACTTTTGGAAATGTTCTTTCTGGAAGCTTCCATCTATCACTCTAATCTGGACTCCTTGCTTTATAGGTCTGCTGTATGGTGGTCACACACAAGCTCCTTCTACCAGAATTCTGGGAACTTCCTTTGCATCTCTCTCATGGGATTCCACCTTCCTCTTTTGGGTTTATTCCCTCATTATGATGGAGCGTATCTCTCTGTAGCTGCTCAAGAGAGATTAAACTGGAAATAAATTTGATACTTTCATGTCTGAAAATGTTCTTATATTCTACCCTCTAACAGAATTGATAGTTTGGTTGGCTATAGTATTCTAAGCTGAAAAAAATATTTCCCATCAGGAATGTATTCCAACTTCAAATGTCATCGTAAAATTCAAAGATATTCTGATACTTAAATCATTGTACATGACCTGACTTTTCCTCTGAGACCTTTTAGGATCATCTCTTTACCCTGATTTTCTGAAATGTCACAATGATATACCTTAGTGTGGGGTTTAAAAAATTCCCTGCACTGGACACTTGGTGGCTCTTTCCAATTTAGAGGGTTTTAATCTTTGGTGATTTTTTAGTGTTATTTCCTTGATAATTTCCTCCCTTCTAATTTTCTCTTTTGAGACTTCCAAATTGATCTGTTATTTTCTTATCCTTTCTCTTCTAATTTCTCTTTCTGTTCTACTTGCATTGAAGAGTTCCTTGAATTTATCTTCTGACACTTCTACCGACATGCTGTATCTTCTTAACACTCCGAGATTATAAAGCTTTAATTTTTCATTTATTATCTGTGTTTCACAGTAGAGGATTTCTCAAATGTGTGGTGATCCTTGGTTATTTCATGTGTAATCAACATAAAAAATTATTAATGAGAAATAATTCTTTTTAAAATACTAGTCCTGCAGTGTGTACTTACTTATAACACACTTTAATTCAGACTAGCTACATTTTAAATGCTTAATAGCCACATGTAGCAAGTGGCTAAGTGGACAGTGCTGCCCTAAGGGAATGGAAATAAATATCTCTGTTTGATCTACTGCATTTAACAAGAGTTAAAAATATTTTTCTGCTTAATAATTCTCCCAATCTCCCCAGAAATATTTATATTGCTAACTTGTCCTTAAGAAAAATGATACCAACTTATACTTTCTGGTAGCTGTGTAAGGTGGCCATTTCTTCATTTCCATGCCAACAATGAGCATCATCATTCTTCCTGAAGCTTCTCTAATGATTCATTTCCCACTCAGACTGTGAAGGATATTGTCACCAGAGTCTGAAGTCTTAGTTTCAGCTGAGCTGATACCTCAAATGACGTAGAACTTGACCACTACGTGTTTTGGGAAAGCACTGCTTTGTTTCCTTACCTGATGTCAGAAAGGCAAGGGTACCAATTGTTTCATTGGACATGATGTTATGGAAACGTGCTAGCTGTCCAAACATCTGTAGGCCCGCTTCCTTCTCTCGGCGGGCTTCTGGAGTCAGACTATCCCATTCACCTCGGTCCTTCTCAATCTGTTGAATCTTTATCTTGCTCAAATACTACAGAAACCATAAGTAGAATGTATCAAAGAAGAAAGTGTGGTTGAAGAGAAGATGATATTTAAGAAGTCCTATTTAAAATCTAGTCCACTAAGCTGAGAAAATAAGGGACTATGGAACATAGGGCTGAAGCTTTGAAAAAAAATTATGGAGAAAAAAGAAAAGAAAAAAAATGTGGCTCCGTATAGATTTGCTTCAGCCTGGGTAGATTTTATTGGTAATTCCCCTAAAAATATTGAAGTCTGTGAAATAGAAAAGAGGATAAATAGTATAATATATGAAATCCAGGCAAAAACAAAAAAGTCTACAGTGACAAAAAATTTGAATCCTTCCTGAAATTTGGAAATAAAACAAAACCACCCCCAAAACTGCTTATCAAAAAACAAAGCTTTATCAAATATGCAGGATATCTGGAAGAACCTTATTTAAAACCCTCTCTCTTGCTGTTGTAGCAAATGTGTTAAACTTACAGTCCCATAAAAATGCCATCTGGGTCATTCTTTGTGTTACATAGCTCTTGCTTCGAAGGGTCTATTTATTAAGGACTTGTTCTTGTTTTCTAGGAAAATCTATTTAAAATCTTAAAGTAATAGATTATGAAAAAGAGGAAACTTTTCTCGCAAATTAACTACAAGTTGCTGGGAGATCGTTAATCAATATGAAGAGCTCATGGCTGTCCAAAAGGCCACCCTCATGATCTATCTGTTTCATCTCCCTTTGGATTACCGCCCTATTTTATATGTCGTAGATAAGGGAATTTTTTATAGGCGCAACAGGCAGCTCCATAGGGATGGTTAAGGATCTGATATACTAAAGGATCTAAGAGGCACCCAGCTGTATACTTTGTGAAACTCATGTTTCAAATATAGCTAGAGATTTGGGAGTCACTGGATAGATAAAGAGTATTGACAACTTGAAAAAATAATCCAAACTAGAGATTATTTTTTATAAAAATCAGAATCTCTTAGGAGAGAGGAATAAGAAATTGTCTTAGTGAGCCACTGTTACTGATATGTTGGGATGGAAAGAGTCACTGACCAACCACAAGATCCTGATTTCTTCTGCAGTGCTGGCCTAATTAGTTCTGCCAGTGTACCTTGGTTTGGCCTTATCACGCTTTCTTTTCCACTCTCTGCCAAAGTATCATTCTAGCTCTTGAGTCTTCAATGGGCCTTGATCTTGGTCTCTAATAGAACAATAACTATCAAGCTCTGTAATGGTAAGGTTGGCAATACACTACTAGCAAATTTTTGGTGTCTAAGACTGGCACTAGAAGCATAAGAATTGCTCTATTATGATTAAGAGGTAAAAAGTATGCACTGGTCATAATTCGATGGTATAGGAACAGTTAAATCTTTTTGTTTGTTTGTTTTGTTTTTACCTGTATGGCTTCATCCAAAAGGAAGATGGCATCATTCATTAGCAGGTTAAGAAAGCGGAGAAAAAGTGGGGGATTCATGGCTTCCAAATTCTTAGAGGCATAGTCAGCCAAATCCTGTTAAGTCCCAGCCCAAGGGAAAACCGTTTTAGTACTGAACCACAACTTACGGGGGCTTATCTGAAGCAAAACTCAGACAACTCGGTTTTAGTTTCACAAAAACTCTCTTACCTTAATGCTTTCTCGATAGGTATCTGTTCCCCACATATACCTTAGGATGGGATACATGGGACGGCGATAATTAAACTTCTGTTCAAATTGATGGGGGTCTCCTGGAGTAAGGTAAGAGCAAAAAACCAGCAAAAGTGACATTATTAGAGAACGAGTAAGAGCTTATGTCTATGTGTAGCTATTTTTCTTTATTCTGAATGTGTCAAGGCTATTGACAAAATCTGCCTTGGGTGTTTATAAAGGCATAGAGTTATAGCCAAGGGTTTGCTTATTTCTTTACTGACAGAACAAGAGGGAGACAGATGTAAAGAATACCTTACACAGAAAAAGACAAGGACCAAGCTGTACAATAAAAGCCAAGGGAAACAAATGCTTCCACATCAAATGTACAGTGCTTATCAGACTCTGAATGAAGCCTTTGAGCCGGCCATTGTGGCAGTGACAGCCATGTGCAGAATGGGATACTAAGTAATCCCCACATTCTTCATAGATAATATGCCAACTGGGTCGCCAACTGGTTCTTGATTACTCTGAAAAATCAGGTCAGAAGCTAAAACTCTAAGGCTTATACTGCTTTTGACATACCAAAGGTACCATGAGAGCACTATAGGAAGAGCATGGGATATGGTGTCAGAAGACCCAGGTTTTCCTTCGGGCTCCACACAATGCAAGTCTATTAACCTTTTGCAATTTCCACTTCTTTAGAAATAAGACAGGAATTACAATACAACCTCTACTATTACAACCCTTTGGCTGATTTAATAGTCACATAAATGAGATAACTACAGCATTTTATTGTGCAACTTCTTATACATTATGAAGATTTGCATGTACTATCTCACTTACACATCATTTCAACCCATTTTACAAAAGAGGAAACTAAGGCGCAGAGGTAAGCAACTGACAAAGCCAAAATCCAAATACGGAAAGGCAGTCAATAAAATGTTAAATGTCTCTTTAAATGTTAGTATTTATCACTGGATAGTAGGACGTAGCCTTTAAAAGGGGTCATAAGTAACTGCTTAATATATCTTGTTTATTGGTTGAGATGGTGTATGGTTTACTCAAACAAAGCATCTCAAGGTTAGATCTCAAAAGGCCAAGAGAGAAAAGGAATATTGCCTGCTTTATTCTTAATCTAACAATTAGATTGTTAAGAGAGTTAGTCTGGATAAAAGACTATCTCAACCACCACCCTGTCCCATTATCCACTATTTTGAATTTTGAGGCAGAGAAAAATAAAGACCCAGATTTTAATTGGACAGCCTGATTTGTTTAGTACAATTTAATCAAGTAATATAATAAAGTTGAGTAGAGTACATCTTTTTGAGGATCTATGTTCTCATATATAAAATAAAGATAATATGGTAAAACTTTCTGGATGGTGACAAATGAGACAATGTAAAAAAAGCACTTATTAGCATCAAGGCTGGCACATAGTAGGAATTCAATAAATGATGGCTGATAACATTTTTCTGACATTCCAAAACTGATCAAGCTATGAAACTTCGCAAGTATCAGCTTCTCAGTTCTAGATTGCTTTACCTGTAAATTCAATGTCCACGAAGACCTTGATTAGTGCTTCTGCAAGGTGGGGTGCATAGGGAAAGTTGCAGAACACACGCTTCCGATGGAACACACTGGATACCAAGGGATTTGGGGTCTGATCCAGGTGGGGCATCACTGCTTCCAACACCTCAGCCAGTTTGGCTCTGAGGTGGGGATTCTTCATCCTGCAAATAGTGCAGAAAACAAGCTGAGCAGGCAGAAATTTAACTACCAAATTTGTATAGCTATTCTCTCCACAGGAGCCAAACATCCTATACCACCATTGCAGAAAAGAACAGGATTCTGCAGTTTTAAGTCTTTCAATTTCTGAGGGATAATGCAGGGGCTACTATTTAACTTTTGAGGTCATAGCTTACCAAGCATTAGGGTGAATGCTTAGGTTTCTATTTAGTGTTTAGCCATTCTGCTTACTGCTCTAGGATAATGCATTATTTACTGCTTACTATTCTGTTTCATCTGGGATAAACTTGCCTTTGCAAGCTTTCTGAAGGCAAAGGCCAGAATATAATTATTCTACATTTCTTATAATGCATATTGTGTGTGCCTAATAAGTATTTGTTGACTTATGATTCTCCTTAGAGCTGCTCAGCTCAGTGAAGGACTGGCTTCTATCTACTTCTCACTGACATGATTCCAGAGATCATGGATTTTTCCCTTTGTGTAGCAAATCTTCACTTATGTACACAGTTTGTTTCCTTTGGCCTAAGCACCAAAAAAATCAAGAGAAGCAACTCTACAGGTCAGTGAGTATCTTCCTTTGGGTAAGTGGACTAGAAGTTATGAATGAGAAGACCTGAGATCAGAAAGCATTTACCTAAGTTTACTGCTTGCTCACCCGACTCAGGATTTCAAGAGCAAACTTTATCATATAATTATTAGAAGATCATTAGCACCTGGCTGCCACTGGTAAGGTTTCTGGCATTAAGGTAATTATTTTAACCAGGGACTAGCAGTGGGATTCCCATCAGGTACCTTACATGCAAGTTCAAATTCTCTGTGGCCAAAGTCCTTTGCTTATCATGTTTCTCAACAGTGGAAGTTCTGGCTACCTAATAGGGTGGTCAGGTGATTCATTAATGTTAACACAACTGATGAAGGCAACCCTTATGACTCAGATTTGTTTATTTCTTGGTTTAGAAGTCTTCTAAACGTTTTGAAGCTCTAAACAGTGACAGGGTCAAACTTTTAGCACTTCACCTTTCTATGCTTCCAGTGAAAATGGTGATAAAGTAAAGAACATTTTCCAGGGAATCTGCTGATGTCTCCAAGATGTCATCGGCAAAGCGGCGGAGAAAGATGAGGAAATCGCCTAGGTTATCTGCAAAAAATTCTGAAAAAGAAGATATTCATTGGAATTAGCCAAACATCTGATTCTCTGTACATACAAATTCTACACTGTATTTAGTCTCCAGAATGGTCCTTGCCTCCTAATACTCAAGTCCTCTTCCAGGATAGAAGATACACCACCCTGAGGCATACAGAAGTGATGGTATGTTATTTCCATGATTAGGTTATAAAAGCCAACGGCTTCCATTTTGGTCACTTGATCTGGGAGAAGCCAGCTGCTATACTGAGCAGTACTAAGGAGAGACCATGTAGCCTGGAAAAGAGGCTGGCAAGCAACTGAGGTCTGCCAACAACCACAGGACAACACCTGTAAGCAGATCCTCCAGCCCTTCTCGGGTCTTCAGATTCCTATGGCCCTGGTTGATAGCTTGGCTGCAAATTCATGAGAGATCCAAAGTCAGAACCATGCAGCTAAGCCACTTCTGGATTCCTGAAGCCACAAAAACTGTGTGAGATAATGTTGGTTATTTTAAAGTTGCTGTGTTTTGGGTTAATTTATTACTCTGCAATAGATGACCACTACAGTGATCAAGAACATATAATCTGATTTTGATGGACAATATCTGCCAACCTCTCACCAACATATATCTATCTATACAATCTCCCTTCTGGGTTAACAGGAGGTGATTACGACTAGCACAGGGAGATTTAGATAAATTTCTAACTTGAACAACAAACAATATTAATGATAGAAACTAACATCTGTTAAAAAAAGTTACCATAGTTACTTTGCCAGTTAAAAATAGTTTCCTTAATGCCAGTTAAAAGCCTGACTTCCCTTAGTCCTTTGAAGACTATTTTTTGATGTGCATAGCAGTGAAGATGAAGACACAAGGCTGAGGAAAAAGCTGTCAGTTCCCCAATACTTTCACCAGTAGATATTATCCAAAAGTTTGAGTAGCTTCTTTAAAAATAGTTGAATGATAACTAAAGAAGGGTATTTTGAGGATTAAACTTCCAAAGTGACCCAGTTAAACTTGGATGGCTATAAATAAGAAGTTCCCAAGGGAGAGCCTCCTTACCTGGTACATAAGCCAAAGAACTGTAGCCATCTGGCAGAGGGAAAGTTAGCTCTATCGGCTGTGAGCCCTCATTGCCTATGGCCAGTTGAACTAGTAGAACGGCCATGGACACCTGCAAATTTAGGCAGTTTTGTAGCATCTGTGGCTCAGTCATAGCAGTCTTGGTAGAAAGATAGATGGTCATCAGTCGTTCAAACTGTTCACGGAGGTTGTCAGCAGCAGGACTAGAACTCTGCTGAGCATCCCGCCAAGCAACCTGCAGCCGATGCAGATTTTGGTTGATTTTTACCATCTGATCATGCAACCTGCCCCCAACAAAGCAGAAGAGACTGGGTCAGGAGGCTCATAAAGGGGCAGTCAAATATAGACCATTCCAGAAATACAAATTTTCATTTATTTATTCTAGTATTCTAGGCTGTAGGGAGCTGCAATTGTGATGACACAGAAGGCACTCACAAAAGTTACTGACAAGACAGAGGTAGGGGGCCTACCACTGGGAAAATGTTACCAAATATTCAACATAATCGAAGCTAATTACAAATAGATAACAGCCTTCGGCTGAAATATACAATCCAAATAACAGTAACTTGGTTGAGCAAGGTGTCAAATGGGCTATTATTATGTCAAATAAATAACTAGTAGGTAAAGTACAAGACGCCCAGTTTATAGTTTGACAATACATAAGTGCAATACATGACTGCACTTAGATGTGGTTATATGGACAATCTTCCCATGGTTAGAAAAGAACTAAGCTGGTGAAAAAGGACTCTAGATTAGTAATGACCACATGTAAATGAGTAGCCTGGAATGCAGCCTGAGAGCAGCAGCTTCCAGCTCTGTTGTTTAATATTACATTACTTTTCACAAAGGATCAGCCAAATGTTCTCTAATGAAAGGAAGACCCATAATTCAATGTTATCTCTATGTATACAGTCCAAAATCATCTTTGGCCCTGTAGATAATGTCTGGGGTTAACCAGCCTATATTGGTAAACTAGATCACATTTATTCCTGTGTTTGAATGCAGGCAGTTGAACAGGTTAAACACATGCTGAATTGTTATCTATTATCTTATTTAAAATGTCAATGACAGAAAAACTATGTAATGAAGAAATAATTTCATTTTCTCAGATACTTGCTAAGTTTTAAAAAGTGCTCTGTGTCAATTTAAGTATCCTGAGAAAGTATTAAAAATTGCTATCCTCCATACCACTTCCTATCGACTATAGCTATGAGGGAATAGCTGTTTTCTCCCATTATTTATACTTATAGTCACAATCGGCTAAATCAGAAGGGGGAAAAAAAATCATAGAATGACATATAACTAGCTAGAACCACACCACTTTTGGAGGACAGACACTCTAATTCTCAAATTTTCACACTTCTAGAATTTTCTTTATCTCTGAAGTTTTATTGATCTTATTGGAATCCCTTATAAATATTTCTTTAATTTTGCCAATTTTGTTTCTACACCATAGAGTACAGCTTGGTCTTTTTTTTTTTTTTTTTTTTACTTCCAGCTTGGTTTTTTTTTCACCAGGAGTCTTAAGTAATGAAAATTCAAGAGCAGAAAGTGAAATGTTAAAACAATTCCACTTTCATAGATGACAAGAGAAAGACAGTGATTTAAAAATTTGCAAGTGTAGAGAAAAGTACTAGTGTGTCTTTAACTTTAAAAAGTTTAACAGGTCAAAAATTAAAAATAAATTCAAGGTATCTGGACAAAGCCAATTCATGTAAACACAAATGTATATAATGCCCTTTCCTGTTGTATCCTAATGTGAGCCTTCAGCAGAAAGAGAGTATATATATAGACTCACTTTCAACTTCCCAGTTATCAACCCAACTGAACAGTTCTTTCCTAGAGACATCAAGAGTTACCTGTGAAATCCCAAGTACAAGGTATACTCTGTCAGGACAAGGTTCTCTGTTACGAGGTTGTAGTTCTGGGGAAACTTTGGTTCCTGCACAGCTGGGATCAAACAGGTTTCTTTGTCCAAACCTCAAAGAAGTTGAAAGGAACAATAAGTGATTTGCTACAGATATCTATCTTGGTTACCAGTGTCCCGTTACTGTAGTTCAACTTCCATACTGCCATCAGTGATATATATATTTTTAAAGTAAATGTTCTTAAAAACAAATCTTATCACATTACTATTTCCTTGTCTAAAAATATATTTTGGCTTACCACTGTCTATAGAAATGCAGTTAAATTTCTTTAGCAAGATCATGAAATCACCAAAAATGAAAAGGAATGATACATAACACTGTAGGTTACAAGGTTACAATGGATCATTTGTATCTATTTTGTGCTTCTGTATTTAAGATCTGCTTTTGAACGTGTATTATTTTTATAAGAGTTATAAAACTGGGAGGAAATACATACACCAAAATTAAGCATGATTGTTAGTAGAATTATGAAGGATTTTCTTTTCACTTCTCTGTATTGTTCAAGCTTTTTCTAATCTGGTCCCAAATCTTCTTCCCCAGACTCATTTCCTGCCATTCATTCCTCTACTCCTCCCCAGACCTACCCCTTGCTTTAGCACTGAGCTTCTCACTGTTCCTGAATCAAGCCTTTCTGTAGCTTTGTACCTTTATAATTGTTATTTCCTCTGTATAAAGTGGGGATTCTTTTGCTCTTCTGCCTGATAAACCCATCTTTCAAGACTCACGTATGAAAACCTCCAACTTCTGTAGAATTTACTACTCACTCCTTCCTCTGTGCTCCCATACTTTAGCCCTACACATTATGATTATCTGTTAATATATCTGCCTTCTTTCAGAGTCTTTGAATTAAAAAAAAGGGACTGTACTTTATTCATTTTTTAAAGAATGAATGATACCCAAGGCTGGCAAATTTGGAGAGAAGGTCTCACTAAAGCACACATCTAAAAGCTACCAGTTTTATTTTTAAAAGTCTGTCCTTTAAAAATTTATTAAAGCTCTTCTTTCTGCCTCATCTTCTTTGAGAAAGAGGAACCTTTGTGAGAAAGGATTAAGGAAATGAATGCCTTAGATGTCACACTCTCTCTCTCTCTCTCTCTCTCTCTCTCTCTCACACACACACACACACACACACACACACACACACACACACACACACACACACAATTCTGGGAAGCCCAGTACTCCCCTACCTCTCATGTGTACATTTTTTATTTTTCGTTCTTCATCATTCAACTCCTTCAGAGCACAATAAGTGGGATTAAAGGTGAGGAGCCGAGAGGATCTGGGTTTGCAAAATGGCTGGCATAGCTTCAGGAGAGCAGCACCCAGATTCAGAAAGAAGGCATCCGAGGCATACATTTGGAAGAAGATTTCTGGCATCTGATTGGCCCAAATCTTGGTGCGGCCTGCATTTGCATGCAAACAGTTTCCAAGCCAGGACAAGATACAGTGTTTGGTTTCTGGAGAGAGCTGGAGTAAGTTCTTCAGCATCTGGTAGATCTTTTCATGGAACTGAGCCATGAACTGTTTAACCAGAAAACATAACCACAGAACATTCCAGTTTCACAATCCTAACATTTGTTACTCCCAAACCATAGCCGCTGACAATTTCCAAAAATATGCTAATCTTAATCTTTTCCCTCACTCTCCTTTACCTTATCCCCCAGTTCTGACTTAAAAAAAAAAAATTTCTGGGCACTTATGATTTCCTGATGAGCTGCCAAACTGCAGACAGCATTTACATAGCTTTAGAGTAGGGATCGGTAATCTTTTTCTGCAAAGAGCCAGATGATGAATATTTTCGGCTTTGCAGGCCATATGGTTGGTCTCTGGTCCAACTATTCAACTCTACCTTTGTGGCATGAAATCAAGTCATAAACAACATATATATGAAAGGGCATGCCTGTGTTCAATAAAACTATTTACAAAAAACAGATGGCAGGCAGGATTTGACCACTGCTGTAATTTGCAAACTTCAGCTTTAGAGTTGTGATGATGGGAGATTTAAACTACCCCCAATTCAACAATTTACTGCCTTATATTGGCCAGACTTCTATAATTTATGCTAAGAAGCCCAAATAAGAGGACATAGGTGGAAGTGGGGATAGGAAAAAAAAAAGTTTTGGTTTATAGACTGGAATTCAGTCAGATTTTAGGCACTAAACTTATAAGAAATAGTTTGGTAAGAAAAATAAGAGTTAAGAGGAAGATAGGGCAAAGAATGGCAGCAGCTTATTCTTAAACTACACTAAAGTTTACCCTTGGCTCTTAGCGCATGCTAAGAAGAGGGTAATTTCTTTACATAATTATGGTAGAAAGCCAATCAGATCAATGTGCTTTCCCAAAGAGGCTCACGTAGCCTTATGTGCATCTGTATCCTGAGATAATTCTACTTAATCTAAGATCAGGGGGCTGGGAAACACAGTAAACAGTTCCACCTGATGGATATTGGCCTCTTGTACTTTGATCTCCTGGGGACTGGAACGAGATGGATTCAAGAAGTAGCCATGATTTTCTACTATGCCCGGAGTCTTTAATAAGCAGGAGATATTCAGGATTATTCCCAGCAAGGTCTTCTGGTACATCTGCCCATTGCTAGGGTCTTTGGGCTGAATGTATTCTACAAAAACCTGTAGAAGACAAGTTCAACTTATTCATCTGTAGAATGAGGTAAGTATGGTAGGGTGAGAGGGCCTCAAAGAGTTCAGTTTATACAACAACCAATTCATTTTCCTCTTATTCAATAAGTAATATTATAGTGCCCTCAGGATAGGGAAGCATAAAGTATTAAATATCCAGCTCAACCGTTTATATACCACCTTTCAGACCTACCTTTGCCATATCCTTTTGCCTAGTGAAATAGAGAAGAATATCCAGATATACATACAACAGGATCTGACAGAGTTCTAGATCTTTTATTCGGCCCAATAAAATATCAAACACTGGAATCATGACTTCTGGAAATGTTCGCACTTCTTCGTCCAATATCAAGGCTTCAATGACCTCTTCCAGAAACTCAGTAACATCTTCAAAATCTAACAAAAGGCAAATAAGAGAGAAAAAAAGGCCACAGGAATTTTTATATGCCTTTACACACTGGATCTTTACTCTTCTGATACTTTTGATAATTCACTGATATTCAACCCCAAAGGTCTTCTCTAATTTATACTGGAACCACAGTGGCTCTGAGGCTTTCTGATGCAATTACAAGAATTTTAAATTTGGAAATCAAAACGCAGAAGCCCACAGATCTTGCTTATATACTCACGGGCTCCTTGGATAGCTTCCAACATCAAATCTACCAGTTGCTCATAGATGTTTTGGTCAACATAGATTTCTGGAGTGAGGAGAACTGTTCGTGTATTGGACACCGTGAGATTCCTGCACTGAACTGCAAAAGGTAGCAGGTTCTCTGGAACTTTGGTAATCTGGAAACAGTATAAAGAAAAGAGGAAAGAGTCTAGTTCTATGACCTGGAACGAGGGTGGGCAATAGCAAAAAGAATGGAACAGACATTGTATCCCAAAACAATATTGCTCTCCTGTTGATGCTTGAAAATTCATGAGAGTTCATTCTTTCGTTTAAATAATCACCTCCTTGTTAGAATTCCAATCCTGGAAGTGACCGAGCTTAGCTTACTCTAATATTTACACATTACTGGAAATGAATTCATCAGACCTTTTTTTTTTTTCAATTGTATTATTAGTTTCAAGTATACAGTACATTGGTTAGACATTTATATAGTTTTATGAAATGATCACCCTGATTACTCTGTCTTCCCTCTGGCTCTACACAGAGCCCTTACTACTGATTAGCTCAACTACTAATTTGTACTTCTTTAACCCTTTGCCGCTTTCTCCCAGCCCCCTGTACCTCTGCTCTGGCCGTCACCAGATTGTCCTCTATATTTGTGAATTTGTTTTTGATTAGTTTTTTTTGTTCCTATCAGATCTTTTTTTAAGGGTGTGATTTTTTAAAGAGGTTTGTGGAAAGAATAAGAGGCACTGGTTCATTGGAGAAAGGGGTGGTCCCTAAGCCACAGAAAGGAGATTAACATTTTAGAAGACAAACTAATAGTGCCTCTGATATCTGGTTCCAGATATACTATAATGTATATAAATTGATATAAAAGACACTGATCCAACTCTCTGGCTTACATGTTAACATCATCCTCAAGAGGACAATATAGTACTCAATGGGAATTATTATTATTACCTCTTCCTTGGCTCTTTGGAAGCAGGAATAAAGGTAACAAAAAATGTGACTCTCCCCCGCATCTCGATCAGCAGAGAGATTCAACGTTGTAGAAGAAGTCATGTTAATCAAGTGGTTGCCTGGATCTTGAAGTAATAAGCGAGCGAAGACGGCCTATTAAAAACAAATTTTAAAAAATGCTAAACCATTGCTAAGTTAACCTTAGAACATTAAGATGTGAAAGGTAATTCTGACTCAGGTTACTGTGAGAATCACAGAATATAGAATGAAGGGGAAAATATGACCCAGTATCTTATGAAGCTCAAGTGTTTAGTATAGCCCCTTCCACAAAGTAAGCATTAAAAGAATATTTGTTGACTGGTGTAGAGAATCAGCAAGTAAATTTGTATGTGAAATTTACTACTGTTGGATTGCTGAGCTCACTCAGACTTATATAAAGATAAATTAAACATACAAAGTTAAACTACAAGTTGTCGTGTCTTCCTTAACAAACTTACTCTTTTAATGTTAATTAGGCACTTATAAGGTAAATTGCCTGTTTTAATTTTGGAAAAGATATAAAGAAGAAAGGGACAGGCCTTGATCTTGAGAACTTAAGTCTAATATGTACATGAAAAAGCCACTACATGAGACAGAAAGTGACAATTCCCATAGGAGATGCATAGATAGATTATTCTAGGATCGCAGAGGACAGATAATAACTCCTACCTGAGAAGGCTTTGTAAATGAGATGGCATTTTAACTGGGTCTTAAAGGATAAGTGGATTTGGACATGTGGCCATTGTAGATAGGAAAATTCCAAAAGAGGAGCACCATGAATAATATAAGAGATGGACGTAAGCAAAGTCACAGCTGGAGAAAGGTGAGCAGAGTTCAGCTGCATGGCTAATTTTTGCTGAAGGCATATATAAGGAACATAAGAATGGTACCTGCTCAACATTGTTCATATCAAGCCAGTCTTGATCTTCTAGGTCTACAGCCATTTCTTCTAAATACACACAGCGGCTGGGGATGCCATTCCCACTTTTCAAGCTTGGGTCACCTGGGAAATGGTTTTAATCTGGTAGGTTAAGGATAACACTTCTGTTTTGTAACAGACAAGTGATCCTGACAGCACTTCTCTTCAACTCCAAGTTAGACTCAGGTGATATGAGAATGATCTCGACATTCAAAGCAGTACGTAAAGATTTATATCTTAAAGAGCATGGGCTTGTTATAAACTTAGCATCATGACATTTTAAGAGTAATTCCCAGACATCAGCACTAACTTTGGGTTTAACTACAGATAAGGCACAGAGGGAAAACACTGATACCACTTGAGGCTTTCACCTAAATGTTTAGGTCACCTCTTGAGAAGAGAATGGATTTGGCTACCATTCCTATTTTCCCTGTAGGGTAGTAAAGGCAAGTAGCTATATGGTCTAGCCCGTATCAAAATGGGAATGACAGTTGTATCTGTGTATAAATACTGATTTTAGAATCAGTATTCTGATTCACATCAAAAGCTTTACTGAGAGAAAAGGTAAACAGGGTTAAAAGGGGTCAAATAGTTGATTATGGAATGAAATCTAACTTTGGGTGAACACACAATGCAATCTATATATGACATACTGTTGAATTGTACACTTGAAACCTATTTGATTTTATTAATCAATGTCACCCCAATAATTTTTAAAATAATGAAAAAAGCTTCACTGAAATATAAGCTGTGTTCTAGGGAGTACGGTGGGTTTGTTTAACCATTAGATACAACAGGTTTCTAAGAGCAAGTCCCTAGCCCAAGCAGAAAGGGCAGAGTAATGAATAGACTGGCTGCAAGTCTGTAACTCACTGTTGTCCAGAGTAATGAGGAAGATCCTTTGGATCATGTGATTGATGTTGAGTTGCTCACATAATAAATGTGAACGGAATGAGCGGCTAATCTCAGCCACCGAGTAATCAAATTCATCCAGACTCTCTGACACACTATTATCTGAGTCATCCAGGCTAGCTGGGAGTTCATCTGCCAAAAAAGGTAAGCCATTAACAGTTACACTCCTCTCTTTTAAGAGAGAACCAAGCAATGATAAATGTAATCAAAAGGAGGATAATTTTGGATGTGAAACCAGTTAATCAGCTGATTAGTGAACATCTCAAGTCAGGTAACATCTTTTTTACCTGATGTACATAACATTACTTAGTTTCAGGTGTACAACATAAGATTTGATGTTTGTATATATTATGCAGTGATCATCAAAATGTCTAGTTAACATCTGTCATCATACATAGTTACACTTTTTTTCTTGTGTTGAGAACGTTTAAGATCTACTCTTATCAACTTTAAAATATGCATTACAGTATTATTAACTATGTAGTCACCATGCTACACATTACATCTTCATGACTTATTTTATAACTGAAAATTTGTACCTTTTGATGCCCTTTCATCTATTTTACTCATCCTAACCCTTGCCTGTTCTTTGTATCTATAAAAATTTTTTAGATTTCACATATAAAGTGAGATAATATGGTATTTATTTTCCTCTGACTTATTTTATCTAGCATAATTCTCTCTAGGTCCATCTATGTTGTCACAAATGACAAGATTTTATTTTTATGACTGAATAATATTCCAGTGTATGTATATATCACATTTTCTTTATCCATTCATCTGCTGATGCACATTTAGGTTGTTTCCATATCTCTGCATCTGAAAATAACACTGCAATGAACATGGCGGGGTGCATGTATCTTTCTGAGTTAGTGTTTTTGTTTTCTTTGGATGAATACTCAGAAGTGAAATTACTGGGTCAAATGGTAGTTTTATTTTTAATTTTTTGAAGAATATACTATTTTCCATAGTGGCTGCACCAATTTACACATGGCAGGCCCTGGGCCCTCCCAGCAGTGCTCAGAGGAGCTCAGGCTCCAGGGAGTCCCTTTGCTGGTGTTGCTTTTTTGATAATAGCCATTCTAGCAGGTGCGAGGTACTATTTCACCATGGTTTTAATTTGCAGTTCTCTGATGATTAATGATAACTGACTGCCTTTTCATGCACCTGTTGGCCATCTTTGTGTCTTCTCTGGAAAACTGTCTATTCAGATCTGCCCACTTTTTAAGTGGATTATTATTATTATTGATATTGAGCTGTATCAGGCAACATCTTAAGTACAGGATTCTAAAATCTCTGGCTAAATATCCTACCACATTTTACAAATCAAGAGTTTTATTCTTTCTATTCATAATTAATTATACTCCACATTGCAAAAATAAGCAACATCATTTCCCCTATAGAATTGTAGTAACAAAGAATTACGTAATAAATCAATATGACTTCAATTATTTTAAATGTCTTTTTCTTGATTTTAAGAGAATAGTTATTTTAATAATTCCAAATTGTACAGGAAAATATCATGTAAAAAGTCTCCACTGAATCAGTTCCCTATGGACAACCCCTTAACTTAGCAAAGTGTTTCAGATTTTTTTCCTATCCTGGTGCTAATGTTTATTACCATGATTTTTAGTTTTTTTAAAAAATAGGATCATTCTGTATCTACTTCTTTTCAGCTTGCTTTTCAAACGTAATCAGCACCAATACCTTTCTGTTAGGTCATTTATAGGCCACCTCATTCTTTTCAACAGCTGCATTGTATTGCATTATAATACACACTGTGATTTATGTAGCTACTTCTCAACTGCTAATATTTGGATTAACAATTTTTCATGATTTCAAACAATAATGCACTGAAAGTAACCTACTCTTTTTGTACACTTGCATGAGTATTTCTATAGGCTAAATTCACAGAAGTAGAACTGCTGGGTTAAGGAGCTTGAACATTTAAAAGTTAACATATACTAACAAATTACCTCAGAAATACTGAGCTAATTTACATGCCCACCAACAGTATATGAGAAAGTGCCTGTTTAAATCTTCACAAATTTCATAGGTAAAAAACTATATAATTGTTTTAACGGGCATTTTTCTTATTATTGAGACCAGATTCTTTAATCATTTAATTATCGTATACAAATTGCTTGTTCACATCTTTTGTTACTCTTTTCCTATTGGTTAAATCCCTTTACTTTTTTATAAAGCAACCTGAAAGACTGCCTCTCAGAATGGCATTCACACTTTTATGAGTATAAAAGTAGTGCTGTTCACTAAAAGCCCCACCTGAGTTTGTATTGTTTTTTTTTGCTACAGACAAAATGGTTATTCTGAAAGTCCAGGGAAAACTCTTGGAAGAGTTGCTTCAGTGTGGTGAGTTTAGTAAAAGTGAAGTTCAATATAGGAGGCCAAAGGTTTTGGCAGAGTATTAACTGCTAGTGGAAAACAGGTTAGACCTGGTGGCACAATAAATTCAGTGTAAACAAACTAAGATGGTAAGGCACCAAAATAGCAACAGAAGGGCATGTATCTGATTTGTCCCCACAGCCTGGTGCCTACGATGCTTCCAATTCTAGCCAGCCTTATGTCTGTTTATAGCCAGAAGGACAAGCATTTTGTCACTCATATACTATTAAGTTTTCCTCTGAACTCTACGTGTGATGGGAGCTAAGAACCTATTTAGCAAAATTTCCCTGAATTGCATACTCATAAATTTTATTTTCCCCATTTCCTATTTTTGCTATTCCTCACTCTCCTTTCTCTCCTACGATCTCCTAAGGTTTCTCATTCTGCGCCTATATCTCAGAAATCAGGGGAGATTTCAGAGACTGAGATCCAGACATGACTCCTTTATCATGTTAAAAAGTCAGCATTAAGATACACTGCCAGATTGTCTCCCGGCCTCTCTGCCAAGTGATTATAAATATAAAAAAAAAAAGTCAGCATAATATTTATTACTCCCTTGCTTTGTCCACTGCTCTGTCTACTATTCATCTGTCTTGCCCTTACCTCCTTTTTATTCAATCCTAATCAGAGAGCAAGGCTACAACTCAGCTATACATCTGAACACTTTTAAAACAAACAAAATAAAGGGAAAATATAAACATTTCTTCTTTCCTAAAAAGAAAAAAATGCTATTATTCTTTTTGGAAGTAGGAGAAGGGGAGCAATTTCTGGCTTCAAAGATTCTGAATACCCTCAGAAGACTAACAAATTTGAGAAACATCATCCTAATTCTTCTAGTCTATGTGTCACCTTATAAGGCAGAAGCTAAGCTTGATCTCGATTTTGGTCCCAGATGAGGAAAACTATTTTTTTGATCAGTGAGATATGATTCAGATTTTTTTCACATTAAGACTAAGGATCAGATTTTCTTAGAAGTCTGTTCTAATAGCAGTAAGCTACGATAGTGGCCATTCCATGGGGTGGGAGAAGCATTTCACTTGAGATAGATGGAATCACTAGGCTTAAGAACAAGTCTCATTTGTCTATAGGCCAAAAAGCTTTTATAATTCTTCCTTTCACATATATGCTTTCTATAGCTGCATGTGACTTGTTTTCCATACCTCTGCCTACAACCTCAGTTTCCTATGTTAAAAAGATTTATTTAAATATCTTTTATTAGGTGATTTTTAAACCAAAACAGCTTGACAGTCTGGGATCACGACTGGCATCTGTTACTAAGGAACCACCTGTTATCTGGTCTCTTTTTATGCAAGAGAGAGGACAGGGAGGAGAGGACCCCAAAACAAAACAAACAAAAATGAACAAAAGCCCTTCTCCCAACTTATGCCCTAAATAAACAAACAAAAAATAACTTCTGTCCCAAACTTAAATTCCAATTGCAATTCAGGACTCAAAGAATACTTAATTTGGGAAGACACAATTCTCGGTCATCTCATCTGCTGCTACTGGCTCCTTCACTTACCAGATTGCTGCTTCAGCTGCTCTTTTTGGATTGCAGCAAACTGCTTGGCGTCAGCCAGGGAACCAAAAAGAGCAGCAAAGGGGTTACTTGAGATGTTGTTGTTATTCTCCTGGTCTGTCATTTCACTTCAAAGTGTCCTCCATCCAGACCTAGGGGGGAGGGGCTATAGAAAGGACAGGTATTAGACACAGAAGGTGAGATAACAAAATAATTGTAATATACCCATAGTCGTTTCTTTTCTCAAATACAACACATCTTAAAAGGCTTTGGGTAAGACTTCATAATTCCTGTTCCAAGATTCAAGACACTGTGGAAAAATGATTACAAACCTACCAAATGGACAAGTTGGCCTGATTTGGGGGTAGCTAAAACCAAAAAGCTTGCAAAACATTCTGCTGGAATGCATTTATCTGTTGACATGTTTCTACTTGCTATACTGTTAAAAAATAGGTTAAGCAGAAAGAATCACTGAAGTCAAAGGGGGAACTTAACCTATTAATAGTAACAACAATGTGACACTTTAAAATGATACCAAAAGAACTATGATTTCCCACAAATCTCTATGCTGGCTAGCTAGGTCTCATTTACCCTGAGCATAGGTGGCACTTGCTCAGGCTTCTGTTACTTTATTTATTGAAGCTGGGAATTCCTCAGCTACATATAAACTAAATGTAAGCCTTTATCTAACACATGGAATGACAAATCAGGATAGGAACCAGATTAGCGGTATGTGGGTTTTATATATATATATAAAGCAATCTACCTCTACTCCTAGGCTGTTACAATTACTGATATTTCCTCCACTAAAAATGAAATGATCTTTGCTTAATTCTGTATTTAACTTTCACTGTTTATCTGATTTTTTTACACAAATTCCTAATGTGTAATATGAAACAGATATATATCTTAAAGGTATTAGTGGAGCTAACTGAGCCTGCATTTGCACTCTTCTGGTTATATTTCCTCATTCAAGAGCCAAGGGGACTCAGTGGCACAACAGGATGAGCAGAGCTCCCTGAAAGGCTTTCTCCCGTCTGAAATTTTAAGGCCACAGCATAGAAACACAACCCTGAAAAGCATGTGAAGAGACAAAGGGTATGAATATTCTACTTACAAGGATGTTGAACTGCTCTAAGAACAGAGGCCTTAGAAGGGATATAAGGGAAGGAGACAAAAGATCATTCAGTCAACTTTTAATTTACTGATGTAAAACTCCTTACTGAATCATATTAACAAAAGCTAATGCAAGTCATAAAAGTTACCCTTATTTTTTGGGAGGAAGAGAGACTGTAACACTTTTTGACAATTCTCAGGCATCTCCACCAGTCTGCTTCATGTTCCTCTGTTGTGTTTTCTGCTTAAGAGCTAATGGCTAATTAGCTGTAATGACTTAGGCAGACAATCTAATCTCTCAGCATGGTACTGGGATTTACTGCTTCAAGGAATTGAACTGTTAGATGTGGCTCTACGTATTTTATTTTTTGCTATGTATAGTTTAGTTGAGCTTAATAATACAAAAAAGATAACATATTTCATGTTGAAATTAACATCAATCCTGAAGAGGACTTTCTCCCCATTTAACCACAGCATAAAACTTAATTATTGCCCCTAATTCATATAGAGGTACCAAGAATTACCTCATTGTTACTTGACCACCACCTCTATCCTAAAGTACTCTGAAGTCCAGAGGAATGCAAAAAAGTGTAGTAGCTTTTGTTATATTGCCACTGCCATCAAAATATCACCCTTTTTTTCAACATGGCACCCACATTTTTTCCTTGGGGATCCATCTCATTCCCAGTCCACATGTTTAGAAAGAGACGACCTCACCCAAAAGCTCCAGGAATGGGCATATGAATTGGCCTTGCCTAAAAAAAATACAGCATTCTACGGCCAAAGTGACTGACTCAGGAGTGGGTACAAGACCCTAGCAAGGCCTATCAGATTTAGGAAACACCAGCTTCAAGGCCTTTTGCTGAATCTACAGAAAAGGGATTCTTTTTTTCCTGATTAAGTTGCTAGGCTGGTTAAGATATAAATGTGGAGTGGCCATCTTTCCACCATCTAGAAAAGGCCCAGCCTAAGTCAACATATAGGAAAACAGAAACAAAGGCTGGAAAGAGTATTTTCAGTTATAAAAGCCAAAACAGATTTCTCTATATTGTGTAGCAAGTTTAAATGGGTTTAAAAAAACACAACTGAAAAGAGTTCAGATTAGAACCAATGAGATGCGTCACTTGCACCATCTATGCAGAAAGGAAGTACAGTAGACCTCTGAAGAACATGGGAGTTAGGGAGCCAACTCCCTATGCAGTGGAAAAACCACTTATAACTTTTGACTCTCCCAAAACTTAACTAATAATAGCCTAATGTTGACTGCCCCTTATCAATAATATAAACAGCTGCTTAATATATATTTTTGTTATATTATATACTGAATTCCCACGATAAAATAAGCTAGAGAAAATAAAATGTTAAGAAAGTCATAAGAAAGAGAAAATACATTTACAGTACTGTACATAGTTATTGGAAAGAATTCCATGTGTAAATGGGCTGGCACAATTCAAACCCATGTTGTTCAAGGGTTAACTGTAAGTTGAAAGGAATATAGAACATATGATAGGCTCTTACAACTATCAAGAGAGATAAAGAAGATTTATCATCATAAATGGCATTATTTCCTTTTTCACTGTCACATTATATAAAGAAGCTGACGTCTCACTACATTTTATCTATGTTTTAAATAAGATTTGTAACTTTCTGCATTGTATTCCTAATGCAGATCTTCTACCTTGCTAGACTGTAAGCAATTGGAGTACAGGTTCATATCTGATTATTTTTTCTTCTGTGTCTAGCATTATATATCACAAACACAAAATCCCAAATAAATATTGATTGATTGATTCAATCTTACATATAATTACTCCTGACCTTGTAATCAATAGCAGCACCATGAGGCTACTTTAATGTAAGAACTTTACTATGTGTTTTGGATTGAGGTGGAAGGTCAAGCTGTGTCAGACACGTGGCTTGATGGTATTTCAGTATGTGTACAATAGAAAGTGGACATAAATCTGTTGTCATCTCTGCTTTCTTTTTGAAAAAAACGCTTTTTGCATACCTCACTAACCCCATATTTTTCATTTGTACTTCAAATCTGTTTTTCATAGAAAAAGGGCTAACACCATGTAACCACTTATAGAAAAGTTTTACAGGAAAAGGGAGGACTATATCATTTGATGAGAACCTCTGTGGAGATGTCAGTTTAGATTTGTTCAATGGTCTCACAAATGTAAAAAGATTATCCAGATAACACCCACTCCAAAAGAAAGGTCTTATGAAATGGAACCTTGATATTTTGTCACTGGGAATTTATAGTCTGCTATTTTCAACTGCCATAGGGAGATACAGCACTATCCTATTGTTAACCTTTGGGATGGTACAACTACCAATCTTTAAAGCTTTTGAATTGGATTATTTTTTAAAGTCCTCTTTAAAAATAAGTTTCACTTTGATATACTTGCTGCAAGACTCTACATCTGTGATAGCTGTCTATTTCCAGTCCTACAAAATCCTCTCACTCTCCCCTGATTCAATCTTGTTTATAATCTGTACTGCCAATCCCTTAACCCTTAAGGGTCATTGTCAGCTCTTAAAGAAGTGAGCACACAAATGCTTAACTTCAGACTTGTCATTGCTTTTAAACAGAAATATCTGGTGTACTTTGTAAAACTGAGATTGTCAAAATCAGGCTCTATTAAATCATACTCCATAAGGTCTGTCCTGGTAATACATACATCAAACAAACAAACAAGCAAAAAAATTTAAAAATGTTTTCATTGCTGTATGTTCCACCCAATGATCCTCTCAGGCTCCTCTAATGTGGCAACAGATTCTTCCAACACAACAGCAAGCGACAGGGCTATTAAGTCGAAAAGCAGATGGCATTTCTTCCTGGGTCTCATTTTATCTCAGGAGGGCTCCCATGTGAAGCCAAAACAGTTCATGGCAGCGAGACTAAACACGTTCTTGCTCTGGGAGTAAACAACTGAAAATACCAATCAAATATAAGCTCCCGCGCCGTGATCAGTTTTAGAAGTGTTCCATATCTAATTGCTGAGGGACCATGAAGCTGAAAGCCAGGAGAGTTTTCAGTGGTGAACTGATCACTTTCCTTAAGAAATGTCAACGCTTTGCCATATGTTTAAACACGCCCACCTGCTTAATCTCCTCTGGCATCCGGCTATCTATTGTCTACGCTTTATAATTTCTCCCTCTAGGTTCCCATGAGGGCATCCGGGCAAGGAGAGAGACATACCCTCTCGACGCAAGTTCCACAGCAAGGCAGACAGAGCTAATGCAAGGCCAGTATTTAGGCCTTTTCCCGGAGGGGAATGGCAAGGAGGGGAAAGATGCGGCACGTAAGGGGTTCCCAAATCTGACAGGGTTGAAATTCACGAAGGAGAGAGTCAGTAGTCAGGAAAGTACAGGACAAAGAATTTGGAGAGGATTAAAGTACAGAGGCCTGGACCCGCATTCGACCAGGAGAAACAAAACAAAACAAAACAAAACACTGCAGACTTAATGATCGTCTCCCCTTCCCCCGGGCTATTTCCTCTCTTACCAGAGCCTGAAGGGCCAGCAGCGACGACACACGACAGTCTCAGTGGCCGAAGGGCTCCCACTTCCGACTCAGCAGGGCAACCGGAGCTTACATCATGATTACGCGCCGGCCTTGTGGAAGCTCATTTGCGCGCCGGAAACAGGGTGTATCCCTCGACGCGGAAAACTGGCGCGCAAACACGCCCAGGGCGCAGGCGCTACCTGATTGGCGGGAGGCGGAAGTGGCCTTGCGATGAGTTGGGAGGGTGGGGCAAAAGAGTGTGCTGCTTGGGGCTTAGTAAAATATGAGCATGCCTTGGAAACCGGTGTATGGCAGGCAAATATGACTTAGTGATCCCCGGCACTGCCACAACTTCTGTGGGCGTCTTTCTATTTTCCCTACTGGTCTTATGTCCTTTTGAAGTGATTTCATAGATGGTTAACCATGAAGGAACAGCACTAGCATTAACAGCAATAATTGAAAAATTTGAGCTCTTAGTAGTTGCTAGGCAGTGCACTAAAATTGCTATTTAAAATTTTAAAAAATGATTTTTCAAATTTTCAATTATAGTTGACATACAATGTTACATTAATTTTAGGTGTACAACACAGTGACGACATTTATGTATCTTATGAAGTGATCACTTTGATAAGTCTAGTACCTCTAGGACATCATGCATTATTATTACAATATTATTGACTATATTCCTTGTGTTGTACTTTACAACTCAATGGTTGTATTTATAATGACCAATTTGTAGTTCTTAATCCCTTCACCTTTGTTGCTCATCCCCCAAATCCCCTCCCATTTGGCAACCTTCAATTTGTTCTTTGAATCTGAGTTTGCTTCTGTTTTGTTTGATCATTTATAAAATATGCTATGTTTGATTAGATTTTAGTTTTCTTATCTGTAAAGTGGAGACATACATCCTTCAAGGTTACATAGAGGCACACAAAGGGATCGACAGTGGCATACTTTTTCAAGAGTTAAAAGTACTATGCAAATGAAAAGATAATTCTAAGAAGGAGAGAAAATATTTGTAAATCATATACAGCAGTGGTCCCCAACCTTTTTGGTACCAAGGACTGGTGTTCTTATGAGAGCTGAGGAGGTGATCCTAGTGCTGGGGAGCGGCTGCAAATACAAATGAAGCTTTGCTCGCGTGCACACTGCTTACTTCTTGCTGTGTAGCCTGGCTCCTAACAGGCCATAAACCGGTACTGGTCTTTGGCCTTGAGATTCAGGACTCCTGATATAAAGTATCTCTGCCAAGACTCCTAATGATTAGTACCGAACCCTGTATATACCATTTTTTAAAATACATACCTATGGTAATATTTAATTTATAAATTAGGCACAGTAAGAAATTAACAATAATAACTAATAATAAAATGGAATAATTATAATAAACTGTAATTAAAGTTATGTGAATGTGGTGTCTCTCTCCCAAAATATATTGTACTGTACTCACCTTTTCACTAAAAGAAGCGCTTTATGGCTTCTCTTTGGCATATTCAAATTGCCAGCATCACTACTCTTGTGTTTTGAGGACATAATTAAGTAAAATAAGGCTTACTTGAACATAAGTATGGTGATACCAACAGTTGATTTGATAACAGACAGATACTAAGTGACTAATGGGTGGGGTGCTTCTATAGTATGTATTCACTGGACAAGGAGATGAAGATGACTCACATCTGGGCAGGATGGATCAAGAGGGTGCAGGATGCAGAAGGATGATGTGAAATTTTATAAAGTATTCAGAACAGGATACAATTTAAAACTTATGAATTGTTGATTTCTTGAAGTTTCCATTTAATATTTTCAAACCATGGTTGACCGCAGTTAACTGAAACTGCAGAAAACCACAGAAAAGGGGAACTGCTGTATCTGATAAAGGATTAATATCCAGACTATACAAAGAAATCCTACAACTCAACAACAAAAAACCAAACATTATGAAAACTGGAACATAAGTGTTTGTAAGGATTTGGAGAAATAGGAATCTTTGTGCATGGATGATGGATATGTAAAATAGTGTAGAACTTTGGAAAAACTTTGGAGATTCCACAAAAAAAATAGAAGTAACACATCATGCAGTAATTCTACTTCTAGATATATACCCCAAAGAATTTAAAGCAGGGACTCAAACAGATATTTGTACACCAATCTTCATAGTAACATTATTCATAATAGCCGAAAGGTGGGAAAAAACCAAAATGTCTGACAGATGAGTGGGTAAGTAACATGTGGTATATACATACAATTGACTATTATTCAGCAATAAAAGTGCTGAAATTCTAATACATGCTACAACATAGATGAACCTTGAAAACATGCTAAGTAAAAGATGCCAAGACAAAAAGAACAAATATTGTATTATTCCACTTACATGTGGCACCTAGCAAAAGCAAATCATAGTGACAGAAAAGTAGAATAGAGGTTAACAGGGGCTGGGAGAAGGGAGAAATGGGGAGTTATTGTTTAGGATGATGAAAAAGTTCTGGAAATGGGTAGTGATGATGGTTATACTACATTGTGAATGTACTTAACGCCACTGAAGAGTACACTTAAAAATGGCTAAAATGGTAAATTCCATGTTATCTATATATTTTTAAATATTTTTTAATTTTTCGATTATAGTTGGCATACAATACATTAGTTTCAGGTGTACAACATAGTATTTAGACATCTGTGTAACTCATGAAGTGATCATCCCAATAAATCGAGTGCCCCTCTGACTCCATACATGTTGTTACAATATTATTGGCTATATTCCTTGTGTTATATCTTCTATCTCCATGACTATTTTGTAACTATCCATTTGTACTTCTTAATCACTTCCCCCTTACCCCTTTTTCACCAACTCCCCAACTCCATCCCATCTGGTAACCCTCAAAATGTTCTCTGTATATATGAGTTTGTTTCTATATTTGTTTTTTTTTTAATGCAATCATATGGCATTTGTATTCCTCTATATGACTTACTCCACTCAGCGCAATATCCTGTAGGTCTACCATGAAATACCTTTTTCCATCTCATTACTTTTAGTCTTTGTGTGTCTTTTAATCCGAAGTGAGTCTCTTGTAGTAAGCATATATAGAAGTCTTGTTTTCTTATTCATTCAGCCACTCTATCTTTTGATTGGAACATTTAATTCTTTTTCATTTGAAGTACTTATTGATAGATATATAGTTATTACCATTCTTTAGATTTTTGGTACATATTTTTTCTTCTTAAAGAAGTCCCTCCAACATTTCCTGTAATACTGGCTTGGTGGTGATGAACACCTTTAGCTTTTTCTTGTCAGGGAAGGTCTATCTGTCCTTAAATTCTAAATGATAGCTTTGCTAGTAAAGTAATCTTGCTTGTAGGCCCTGGGTTTTCAACACTTTGAATATTTTGTGCCAAGCCCTACTGGCCTGTAAAGTTTCTTCTGAGAAATCTGCGCCAGTCTAATGGGAGCTCCCTTGTAGGTTACTAAGTGCTTTTCTCTTGCTGTTTTTAAGATTCTCTCTTTGAATTTAAGCTTTTGCATTTAAATTATGATGTGTCTTGGTGTGGGCCTCTTTGGATTCAACTGATTGGGACTCTCTGAACTTCCTGGGGTTACTTCCTTTACCAGATTAAGGAAGTTTTCCATCATTATTTCTTCAAATAGGTTTTCAATTCCTTGCATTCTGTCTTCTCCTGCCGGTACCCCTATGATGTGAATATTGTTACCCTTGATGTTGTCCCAGAGGCTTCTTAAACTACCTTCATTATTTTGGATTTTTTGTTGTTGTTGTTGCTGTTCTGATTGGATGTCTTCTGCTACCCCATTATCTAGATTGCTGATTCGATCCTTGGCTCATCCACTCTGTTGATTCCTTCTAATGTACTCTTCATCTTAGATATTGCATTCTTCATTTCTGCCTGGCTCCCTATTATGTTTTCTATTTCCATTTTTAATGTTTCATCTCTTTGTTAAAGTTCTCACTGAGTTCATCTATTCTTCCGCTATGTTTCCTGGGCATCCTTATAACCAGTGTTTTGGACTCTGCATCTGGTATATTGCTTGCCTCCATTTTAGTAATTTTTTTTTTTCTGAAGCTTTGTTTTGCTCTTTCGTGTGGAGGCATGCTTCTTTGTATTCCCATTTTTCCTGTCTCCCTGTATCTGTTTCTATGTATTAGGTAGGGGTCCTAAGTTTCCCAGTCTTAATAGAGTGGCTTTATGTAGTGGGCTTGTTGTGGGGCCCAGTGGCACAGTCCTGGGAGAGGTTCAGCTGCAGGTCAAGTTCAGCCACAGTTTGTGCACCTCCTGAACCTTCTGGTAAGAGTCACCAAGCAATCCATATATGGCTGCCACCTGTACTAGGCTTACAGGTGCTTTGAGGGGCCAAGTCTGAAACCAAGGCTGGCTGCCATTGGTGTGGAGTTTGGGGTTGCTCAGCAAGAAGTACAAGGCATGCTGAGGCCAGAAGCTGCTTCTTTGGGTTTTGTAAACCTTGAGAGATTTTATGAAAGTTCATGGCAGGAGCCAAGACAGCCCATTTGTATGGAATAAATCACTGGAAGCAACTTAGGTGGGCCCACAAGTTGGGAGATTTGGAGTCTCAGGGAATCCCCTGGGCAGAGTGATCTGTGTTATCCAAGTGGAAGGCGACTCTGGTACAGTGGTGTCTGCATTTACAGGCTGGGATGGGGGAGGGCTCAACAAAGGAACAATGGCTTCTGCCTGTACCTTTGTCCAGGAGAAAGCCACCCCCTCCAGGCCCTCACCCTGAAGCCTGACAACTCAACACCTCCTCACCTTCCTGTATGTCCTGGTGCCCCTTGAGCAGCTGCCCCAGCACTGGAGCTCAGAGTGAGCAAGTCCATCAGTGAGTAAGGCCGGGCACAGGCCCTTTAAAAGGAATGGTCTCCAACTATCGCAGCCCTTCATCTCACTCAGTAACAGCCTTGGCTGGTTCATAGCCAGAGGTTGTGGGGACTTCTCTTCCCAGCATGGGAAGCCTGGGCTGGGGTGCCCAGTGTGCAGCTCCTCAAGTGAGGGAGGTGGCTCTGCAGCCAAGATAACTCTCCCGATTCTTGATCCTCACACAGTTGTGGGACCAGGCCATTTAGCATCTCTGCCATTTTGAGATGACCTGTTAACAATTTTTTGTTCTTAGTTGTAGGGTTTCTGTTCAGCTAGACCTCAGGTGACTCTGTGTGCCAGTTGCTCTGTAGTTATAATTTTGGTGTGGTTGCTATACGAGGCATGCACAACCTCTACCTTCTACGCCATCTTGGCTCCATTTATTATCTATATTTTAAAACACATGCACACACACATACACACACACACACACACACACACAGTGCTTTGCAATCTTTGAGTGCCTATCTTATTCAAGCATTCTTGTAGTTCCTGAAAATACAGTAATAAAAAAATCACAAGTCTTTTTTTTCCTGGAGTTTATAATCTGGTGACAGTTGAGTGGTAATATATTATTTAAAGTCAATGAGCACAAGATGGATCATTCAAAAAATAGTTCTGGAATAACTGGGTAGCTATGCAGTTTAAAAGTTAGTAAATGTGTTAGGCCTTTACACTAAAATTAATTCAAGATGGATCAAAGATTTAAATATGTAATACAAAACTATAAAAATGCTAGAGGAATTCATGGGAGAACGTTTTAAAAAGAATAATCTTAAAATAGAAAAAGACTTTTCTAAATATGGAATAACCTAGAAGCCATAAAAGACCAGTGAATTCTATTATATTCAAATGTTCGTAAAATGTGCATAAACAAACCAACCATAAGTAAAAAAAAAAAAGAAAAGGAAAAATATTTGCAACTAATATCACAAAGAATCCAGTTTCCCAAATATGTAAAGGATTTTGCAATTCAGTAAGAAAAAGATCAAAGAATATGATCCTATATTTCATGAGAAGGGAAAACAAATGATTCAATCCTATTTTTAATAAGAAAAATGCAAATTAAAACTATGCTAAGTTGCCATTTTTTACAGATTGACAAAGTTCAAAAAGTTTAATAATACACTGTTGGAATATGTATGGAGTATCGGGCACTCTTATTTTTTGTTTGGGGAATATGTATTGGTTTTACCTCTATAAAGTACAATTTGGCAATTTTAATAAAATTGCAAGTACAAATACATTATTACCCAAAGCAATCTATAGATTCAATATAATCTCTATCAAAATATCAATGGCATTTTTCAGAGAGCTAGAACAAATAATCTTAAAATTTATATGGAGCCATAAAAAAACCCAAATAGCCATGGCAATCTTGAGAAAGAACAAAGTTGGAGGTATCACACTACCTGATATCAAACTATACTACAAACCTATAGTAATCAAAACAGCATGGTACTTGCATAAATACAGATACATCGATCAATGAAACAGAATAGAGAGGCCAGAAATAAATCCACGCCTATACACTCACTTAATATATGACAAAGGAGGTAAGAATATACAATGGGGTAAAGACAGTCTCTTCAATAAATGGTGTTGAGAAAATTGAACAGATACATGCAAAAAAGAAGCAGCTGGACCACCTTCTTATACCATATACAAGAATAGGCTCAAAATGGATTAAAGACTTAAATGTAAGACCTAAAACCATAAAAAACTTCAGAAAAAAACATAGGCAGTAAACTCTCTGATATTACTAACAGAATCTCTTTTCAGACATATCTCCTCAGGCAAGGGAAACAAAAGAAAAAATAAAGAAATAGGACTACATCAAACTAAAAAGTTTCGTTCAGCAAAGGAAACCATCAACAAAACAAAAAGACAACTGACTGTTTGGGAGGAAATATTCACTAATGATACATCTGATAAGGGGTTAATATCAAAAAAATATAAAGAACTTATACAACTCAACAACAAAAAAACAAACGAACCAATTAAAAAAATGGGCGGAAGACCTGAACAGATACTTCTTCAAAGAGGAAATACAGATGGCTAACAGATATATGAAAAGATGCTCAAGGTTGCTGACCATCAGAGAAATGCAAATTAAAGCCACAGTGATACATCACTTCACACCTGTCAGAATAGCTATCATCAATAAATCAAAAAACAACAAGTGTTGGTGAGGATGTGGAGAAAAGGGAACCCTCTTACATTGTTGGTGGGATTGCAAATTGGTACAGCCGCTATGGAAAACAGTCTGGAGGTTTCTCAAAAAATTAAACATGGATATACTTTTTGACCTAGCAATTGTACTTCTTGGTATTTATCCAAAGAAAACCAAAACAATAATTCGTAAAGATCTATGCACTCCAATATTCATGGCAGCACAATTTACAATAGCCAAGATAAGGAAGCAACCTAAATGCCCATCAACAGACGACTGGATAAAGAAATTATGATTCATATATACAATGGAATATTACTCAGCCATTAAAAAAATGAAATCCTACCATTTGCAATGACATGGATGAACCTAGAGGTTATTATACTGAGTGAAATAAGTCAGACAGAGAAAGAGAAATACCATATGACTTCACTTATATGCAGAATCTAAGGAACAAAAAGAACAAACTAATCAAAAACAGACTCGCAAATATAGTGGACAGAAGAGATGGGGGTTTAGGAGCTGGGGGGATAGGGTGAAGAGATGGCTAGGTGGAGAGCCAGAGGAGAGGAAGAGCAATTAAAGGAATGATTTTATAAACTATATAAATATCTAACCAATGTACTGTATACTTGAAACATTTAAATAAATAAATTTAAAAAATCAATTTAAAAATACATTATGGCCCAGTAATTCCGTTTATTTGTATTTGTTACAAATAGTCTTAAGCATATTCATAATCTCATTTATTGTTAGAACTAAAACTATAAAACTTTAAAAAGTATAAAAAGAAGGCACAGGCAACATCTTTGTGACTTTGAGTTTGGCAAAGATATTTTAGGTATGACACCAAAAGCACAATCCATGAAAGAAAAAATGGATAAAATGAACTTCATCAAAATAAAAAACTTTTACAGTTCAAAAGATACCACTAAAAAAATGAAGAGACAAGCCACAGATCAGTAGATATATTTGTAAATCATATATTTGCTAGAGGACTTGTATTCAAAATAGGTAAGAACTTCTACAATTCAACAAACAACAAAAAGTAATAAGACAACCCAATTAAAAAAAAGATTTGTATAGACATTTCACTAAAGATATGAAAATGGCTCACAAGCATGTGAAAAGATGTTCAATATCATTAGTCAGTAGGGAAATGCAAATGAAAGTCATAATAAGATATCATTTTATACCTACTGGAATGGCTATACTAAAAATAAAATAATAGTAACAAATATCAGTGAGAATGTAGAGAAACAGGAAGTCTCGCCCATTACTGGTAGGAATATAAAATGGTACAGATGTTTTGAAAAACAGGCAGTTTCTTAAAAAGTTAATTATAAATTTACCATACAATTCAGCAATACTGTTGATACTCCTAGGTATCAACCCTAGAGAAATGACAAAATGTGTCCACAGGAAGACTTGCATGATAATGTGTAGAGCAGCATACTGTATGATTCCATTTACATGACTGTTCAGAAAAGGCAAATCTAAAGAGGCAGAAGAGATTAGTGGTTGCCTGGGGCTGAGGGTGGGAACAGGGAGCTGACGGCATTAGGGATCTTAAGAGAGTTATGGGAATGTTCTAAAAGTGAGTTATGGTGATGGTTGTAAAATGGGTAAATTTGCTAAAAATTACCGAGGACAGGTGAAATCACTTAAAATGAATGCATTTTATAGCATATAAATTATACCTCAGTACAATTATTTTAAAAAATGACATTTATACAATATTAGTCATTGCAGCATTGTTAAGAGCAACAGATTGGAACCAATTTATATACTGGTATAAAATAACATGTTCAAGTTTCATTAGGTGAAAAGTACAAGATATATAGTATGATACCACTTGTGTGAGAAAGGGGAAGGAAGAAAAATGTATACTTAAGAATTTGCTTATGTATGCCTAGAATACCTCTGATATATGATACATTATATGTCTTATGAGGATATATAAAGAACAGCATATTGTTTGCCTCTGGAAAGGGCAACTGGGAATGTAGGTGGAGGGAGATCTTTCAGTGCATATTTGACCCATGTGAATTATGACATGCAAAAAGTAAATAAAAAGTAAAATGTAAAAAAAAATATTCAAATGGAGTTATTGATCTTTTCATTTTTCTTTTACAAAACTATTACCTCCCAATAGGTGGCACTCCTGAAACACCATACATATTTTTTACTTTTATTTTATTTTGAGAAAACCCCAAATTTGCTCTGGTGGACTTTCTTCTCCATTTGTCACCTCTGGGAACTTTGAGTCTAGATTTAGGCCTGAAAGTTTCTCTGCTAGGAGTGCTCCAAAATATACCACTTTGTTTCTGAAAACTAAGTAGAAAGAACACCTGCATTAAAAAAAAAAAGAAGAAAAAAAAAGTTACAATTGTTTCAGAAAACCAAATAAGGCTTGGGCCCTGACTGAAACTTCAGGTTAATTAAATCAGAACTTCTGATTGATTGATTGATTGCTTGATTGAAAGGTTAATATACGTCAGTGGTTCTTAACTAGGGGATATTTTACCCCTGAGGGGACACAATATTTGGAGATATTTTTGGTTGTCAAAACAGGGGTACTGCTGGCATCTGGTGGCTAGAGGCCAGGGAGGCTGCTAAAAACCTTGCAATGCACAGGAGAGTCCCCTCACCACAAAGAATTATCTAGTCCAAAATATTAATACTGTGTATAATGAGAAGCCCTTATATAGAATTAAGATTAATACTGAGTAACTCTATTCTGAGAGGATTTAAAGATACACACAGCTTTCATATTTTCTTAGGCCGAGAAAATTATAGCTGGCCATGTTTTTTGATATGGGCCTCCACAGTCAACCCCTACCCCGCCCCAACATGATCTTTATAACTGTTTGGAGAAAAGAGATAGACTTGGCAGCAGTTAGTAGGGCAGGTAATGCAAAAGCTCCGTCTTAGATATGGTGTGGAAGGACACACCTACTCTGAGTCCTGAGCTCAGTTCTTCCTCAGTTTGTTTCCTTGAAGGTGGCTGTATTGATCATCTTCTCGATCCTTGAGGGGCTAAAAAAGAGCACAGTCATAAACTCATTTTCTCCCATCCTTAATGAATTAATCTGATGCATATTTACTGAGTGCCTTTTATGTGCAAGGCTTTGGAGTGGGTGTTTTGTGCTCCTGGGGGCAGAAAGAGGAGAAAAAGATGGAGGCTTTGTGGATAGTTTGTGGGTCTCTCTTGGTGTGTTCTTCAGTTTTTCTCACTAGATCCTGACCTCTTCTCTCTCAATCCCCCTCTTTATTTCATTCATTCTACCCAAAGGGATAACTATGCCATCATCTGGTACATCCTAAGCAGTTCCTTATCCATGTAGTATCTTCCAAATAACCTGCTCCACCTTCAATTTCAAAATTTTAAATCACTACTAATTGTAGCAATGTCCCTTTTATTCCTCTTACCTGATAGAGCTGGTCATTGGACAACAGAGTCTGCTTGTCTGAAGCTGCACAAAAAATAAAACACACATATACATAACATACATAAGGTAGAAGGGACAATAAGTTGAGTTATAATCACACAATAGAGTACTAAATAGCAATAAGAATTAGTGAAATACACCTGCATATAACAACATGGGTGGATCTTACAAGCATATTGTTGATTAAAGAAGCCACACACAAGAGTACTTACTGTATGAGTCCATTTACAAATGGAAAAAAACCAGGTATAATTAATCAATATTGTTAGAAGTCAGGATAGTGCTCACTTTTGGGATAGATAGAGTCTGGAAGTGACCACAAGGGGAATTTCTAGGTTGTTGGTAATATTCTCTTTTTTAAACCGGGCGCTGGATTCACAGGTGTGTTTGCTTTGTTTGTTTGTTTTTTTTTAAAGCTGTATGCTTATGATTCATGCACTTTTCTGTATGTAGGTTTTACTTCAATAGAGTTTTAAAAAACACAGAAGACAAATCAGAGGAACTTGAATCTTGAGACAGGTAAATATTCTGTGAAAACAGAGTATCCTTTTCTCCTGACTACAGAGAGCCTCACCCAGCTGTGCACATTAGCAACACATGCCAGCTTAGTCTCTTCTTTTGGGTCTATTTTGGTAGGAAGAAAGCTGAGGGTCTCATCTCATCTAAGGACATTCTTTTACCTCTTGATTGGTGAACTCCATCCTGTCCAGCAATGAGGTAGACCCCAACAGCAAGAAGAAAAATGCTGATGATTTCAGCGAAGACAAAGCCAGACACAGTGGCTGCACTCAGCTCAATGCAACTCTGACACACTGTGGGAAAAGGAAGGGACAAGCATTCTTCAGGGTGTGAAAGTTATTCTTCTGGATCTTTTTCTCCTGCCTACCAGCAGTAATGCCCTTGTCTAGCTAGGGCAGCAGGCTATCCTTCTGCAGGTTGTATGGCAAGGGAATTGCCAGTGAATTGGACTAAGAATGCAATACTTCTCGATGTTTCTCTGTCTCCCAGGAGTCATGGGGAAGCCCATGTGGTCTTATTACCAGGAACTATGTGAACGAGAAGGAAGATCAGATCCCTTTCTCCATGCTCAGTTACCTTCTACATCTCACTGCTGCTCACCTTGTAAGCTCCCCTGTCTCCCCTATCCACCCTAACTCAGTTTATATAAATTGCTGACTGCTCCAAACCATAGGGCCTACCCAAAAGTAAACCAGGCTTTCAGGACTGGCTATACTTTTCCAAGAAGCTGGGGGAACTGTCTTGTTATATTCAAAAAGAGGCAAGCTAAGATGAAGAGAACTGGCTCTTAAATCGCTGTTTAGCCTCTATTTTCACACTCACTCTGGACGGGAAATCCCTAGCACCAAGTACTGCTTAATTTTCACAACAAGCAAACCAAAGGGGCTTACGTACTTCTATAATACACTTGGAGTGGTTGTGAACTGTTGTTTGCTGTTGAACACCAATATGTTCCTCGAGGGTTCTTCAAACGACTTCCCAGATTCCATGTATCGTTATTTTTTTTTTGAGATAGTGAAATTATTTCCTTTCTATCTTTATACCATTTGATATTTTTATCTTTCGATTTACAAATCAGAAGTACTGAACCATCTTCTTGATTCTCATCCACTGTTATTGAAAGTTCTCCTGAAAAAGGAAAATCCATGATCCATTAAGGATCTTTCCTCTGAAAGATCAGGATATCAGAAGAAGACCATTACAACAGTGCTTCTCGAACTTTAATATGCACATGAATTGCATGGGAATTTAGTTAGAATTTCATGTTCTATTTGATAGTTCTGGGGAGAGGCTAAGATTTTGCATTTCTAACATGCTTCCAGGTAATGTCAATGCTGTTGGTTCATGGATAACATTTTGAGTAGTGCCTAGCTGCTAGGGTCCTGTTTCTTCTCCAAGAACCAGACAATTAATTGCTGGTCATGACTGGCCACTGATTTGGTTGAAAATAGAGACATTCACTATTTATCACTCATTATTCCAGAAATACTGTTGTAGGAAGCCATATTTTCATCAACTTCCTCAGAGTTTGAGCATAGGAAGAAGCCATTTCCCTACCTTGTTCTGATTGGGCAATAATACCTGTAGAGACAAAAGAGAGACAGAGGATCAGCTGGAATGGAATCATTCAGATGCCTTGAGATATCATTTATATGGCCATTTGAGGCCAAGATGGAGAGAGATCCTAATCCACAGGAGTAGCTGTATCTATATCTATGTTCCCGGATTGTAGCTTAAATCACCAAAGTGAATTCAGCGTGTTGTATGATAAATAATTTGTCTAGTCTTTGTCCTGGGTTCCTGGGAGGGAGTTTCTAAACCTTTGGAATTTCATGAGTGCTAGAATTGCCTTTGTTATTCTTGTGGGCCTTTAGACCAAATGTGAGTTTATGCTAATGACATGACTCAGGACAGTACTGGTCAAGACCAACTATGTGACCACCAAATTGGTACTTAAAGCTCTGGGAGGGCATGGGCACTGGAGATCAAGTTCGGTCACATGACCATTGATTCAATCAATCACGCTCTTGTAATGAAATCCCAATCCAAACTCTGTGCTTGGTGAACACATCAACGTGCCAGGAAGATGATGTATTCTGATTTGACAGGGAAAGGCATAGAAGTTCTGTGTTCAGGAACCTCCCAGACTCCACCCCATCTGTCTCTTCATTGGCTAGACCTGATTTTATTTTTATAACAAAACTGTAATTGTAAGCATAGCGCTTTCCTGACTTCTGTGAGTTGTTCTAGCAAATTATCAGACCTGAGGTGGTTGTGAGAACCCTCCAGATTGGTAGCCAGTTTGTCAGAAGTGTAGATATTCTGGAGACCCTGAAGTTGTGCCTGGCTTTTAAAGTGAGGGCAGTTTTGTTGGTGACTGTGCCCTTAACCTCTGGGGTCTGATGCTACTAGAGTTAGCATCAGAACTGTATTGCAGTACATATATGGGTATTGCCTGGACAGTCTGGAATGTTCTGCCCCTTTAACAGCTAAAGGCCTGGCAGTGAGAGGATGTGCACTAGCTAAAGCCTTTTAGAGCTGAGTTACTTCTAAAATCTTCAGCCTAGGTGATCCATTTCTTATAGAAACCCTGGATGTTTTATGAGAAGCAGCTATTCAATTGACCTCAAATCTGTCTCAAAACTCAGGGTAGTAGAATTGCATGGTAGATGTACGACAGAGAATTCTAGCACTGGAATTCAGTTTGATTAAGTTTAATTCAGACATTTACTGAGAACTATTATGTTCTTGATATGATTATGCAGTGTGAAAGAAAAGGGTGGTGATATGAAGAACTAGTTGTTGCTGCCAAAGAGTTTACAATGAAGTGGAAAAATAATGTAATTAACATAATAAAACATAAATAATTATTTAGTACTTATATGAATACATGTGAAAGGGAATAGAAACTATTGATTTTGCCCAAGGGTGAGTGACAGGGAAAGCTTTAACAGATAAGGTGACTATTGGCTGGGCTTTGAAGAATGACTAGGAATTCACCAGATGGAGAGAGAATTATTGAGTGAAGATATAGACTTGGAAAAGGACAACAGAGGTAGGTAGTGTGGCTGGAGGGAAAAAATGGATCCAAATCAAAGCATAATGAAAATAGTTGGAAGGAATCAACTGTCTTAAAACTTCACACAGGGCTGAACTATTTATGAATAGTACTTAGCACAGTGCCTGGAACATGATAGGAGTTTTATGTTTGTTGAATGAATGCATGAACAAATAAATGAGTGAATAAAAAAGGCAAGAAAAGCAGTTAAGCAGATTTCAAACTAGCTCTTCTCTTGACTACCTGGTTGCCATGAGAAGGACAAAGAAGACCCTCATTCTAACTCAGATTCCGTGGGAAAGAGGATCCAACTGATTGCTGACATCTTTTAATTTTGCTTATCTGAGTCTTATTTTGTTTTAGGACTTGAGAGCTCATATAGCCCAATTTCCTAGGTTGACTGCTAAGAGAACTGAGCTCAGAGGAAGCAGACATTGCCTAAGTTCACACAGCTCATTGGTGGCTGAGCTCAAGTTTCCATTGCTCAGCTCTGTGCTCTCTGCCCCACACAGGCTTTTAGCACTGCCCCTCAACCTGTGTTGTCTTCCTCCAGTCCCCTCAGAAATAATTTTGAGCTCTCACTGTCCTCTCCAAGTTCCCCACTCAACCATCACCCAGCTCAGTTTCAGCAGGTGGCATCGCCTCCCTCTTAGTTCATTGAGAACATAGATACTATAATGATCCTTTCCCCTTCGTCTTCCTTTCCATCTACAAGCTTATCTATGGCTGAAGTCATCTGTACTTTCTTCTAGTCTCAGAGGGTAAGGCTGCCTTCTTCTCTGTGCTCTTGACACCACTCTTGACTCAGTTCTTTCAACATCAACTCCAGGATCTCAATTTACTCACTATCTTCTCCTTTAGCCTAGAAATATGCTCAACTTCCTCTCACACTCAAAACAATTTCTTTTTAGACTCTATTTCCCTCTCTACTTACCATTCAAACTCTCCTCCTTTCTCATCCAAACTTTTTAAAAGAATAGTCTACACTTGCATCTCTTTATTGCCTGCCTTTACTTTCTACTCCTTTCCATTTCGCTTCTACTCACACAACCCCAATGAAGTTGTTATAAATGATCCATGACCTTTATTTTACCAAATTCCACAAACTTAAACTTTTAAATATATTCTTATATAAGTGGATTGCTCTTTAATATCTCATACTTGCCGCGGTCCAGCCACGACAGGATCCAGGGGGCCCCGAAGGTGGGCAAGGCGTCGGCGCGGGAGACAGTCGACTACACAGCTCAGAGGCGGTGTGACACTGTTCCGTTTTATTGTGATTTGAGTACAACTTTTATACTTTTTATTTGGCATTTGATTATACTTTGTTGTTAAGGTAGCAGGGAGTTAATTTCTGTGGTTAGGCGGAGCAGAAAATCTTATAGCCCCCTCTTAATAGGATCATTTCTAAGAAACCAATTATCCCTAAACACATGCCACGTCCTCGTACTTGACGATGCATTCCTTGAAGCCTCTGTCCCCATCTCCGGACCTTGTCACGCAGTAGGGTAGAAAGAGGACGCGGCACATACTCTCAGTGAATTTCTCCTTCTGGAAGCTCTCTACTTCCTTGGTTTCCTTGGTATTGGACTTATCTGATTATTCCAGCTTTTTAATCATTCCTTTATCTCTTTCTTAAAATAGTTTTTCTCTAATTGCCCCTTAAAAGTTGGTATCCTCACAGTTTCTTCCTCAGCTCTCCCTTCCTCATATCTCATGTGGTACTTATTGTGATTTCAACAATTTTCATGGTGTTAGCTTCCTCCATTCTGTGGAGAACGATCTCTAGTCCAGACTGTAGGCACTGGCCCAGTTCATCCACTTCCTGTTGGATATTTACAACTGAATATTCATACAGGCATCTTATACTGTACCTTATATTCAATCTGGAAACAATGAAACTTATCTCTTCAATTACTTTATGAGTTCTTTAAGACAGAAGGTTTTTTATTTATCATTATATATTCCTAGCCTATCACTTATACTTGTTGAGCAGTTCATGAACTGACCAACTGAGTGAGTGAATGCTTCACAGGTTTACACCTAACCCCAGCTCTGAGTTAAAAAATCATATACTTTTTCTTTTCATGTTCCTGGCCTGTGCCCTTTTGGGCTACATTCAGACCTAAGATGGAGACATCCGGGTCCCCTCTCCAGGCACTTAATTCCTATGTTTTGATTCCTCAAGAGGCAATGACCCTAATTCTGTCATGGGACACTACTTCTCTCTAGCAGAAAACAGTAAGAGGCTTCATTTTTGCTCTTCCTTCTCTGAATTCTTACGTAACAGCTGAGGTAGGCTAAGGTTAGAGATCCCAATATTTTTGTACCCCTGGTGATGGCCTCTTCCCTTGAGTATTTCTTCAGACTGCCAGACCCGTTAGTGGGCTCTTACCTTGAAGAAGAGAGATAGCCAGGATGAGGCCAGCCAGATGCTTCCCCTGCTCCATGTCAGTCAGTCTCTGTCCTTTCCTTACAAAAGCACTGAGTAGCCCCAGCAGCAGCAGCTAGCTTGGCTCCGCCTACCATTATTCAGGCTGGGGCCCCTGCGAGAAGACAAGAACCCAGGCCTCCCCCTTGGCTTCAGTGTTGGCAGCTGGGGTCTCAGCAGGGCTGCAGGTGCAGATGTCTCTTGCTTTTCCGTTAGGAAGTGAAGGGTAGAAGGTGATGGGAGAGGGAGAGAGTATTGAATTTCCATCTTAAAGACGCTGGCTTGCACAGAGAACTGCCTTGGGTGCTGGGTAGGAGGAGGTAGCCTGGGCCGCTTTCTTAGCGAGGGAGGTAAACATCTCTGCCACCACTTGCTGCTGTTATTTTAGCCAGTTGCTGCTTGTTGCTAGTTGTCACTAGAACTAATGAATTCAGGCAGGAACTCTCAGATTCCCAGGGCTGGAGCTCTGACAAGAAAGCCATTTCAATCCAGGTCCTCACTTAGGAATTTTTCATCGTCCTTTTAAGATGAGATAATCAAAGGGGTGTCTGTCTATGAGGATAGGTAGGACAATTCCAACAAGACACGGCATACATTTTCAAGGCCCAAGGCCTGACCTGAGTTTCCAGGATCTTGGTACCCTGTCTCCCTCAGTCAGTTAGTCAACAAACATGCACAGAACTATTGTTATGTGCCAGACACAATCTAGGTATTGGAGATACAGAAGTAGGTGAGACATATATGATCTCTGCCCTCAGGTAAATTACAGCTCAGCTATGGCAGTATCAAGAGTTTCAATCCCCACAGGCTACAGAGGAAAAAATCCATTTGTCTCCTGAAAGGCTCAATTCTGCCTGCGAGTCCATCATATTGTTATTAATAACTATTTTTTATTGAGCATATATAATATCTCAGGCACTATGTAAACATTTTGTTCAAATCCTTATCATGAATGAAGAATACATGGAATCAACAGTGAATTAGATGAAGCAGAGGATAGAATCAGCAACTTTGAAGAAAAGGTAATAAAAAACACCCAAGTGGAACAGCAAAAAGAAAAAAGAATTTTAAAAAATGAGGGTAGTCGAAGGATCCTCTGAGACAACATAAAATGTAACAACATTCACATCATAGGGGTACCAGAAGAAGAGAGAGAGTAGAGAGAAAAAGCAAAGAATTGAAAGCCTGTTTGAAGAGATAATGGTGGAAAACGTTCCTAACCTGGTGAAGGAAATAGACATTCAAGTCCAAGAAGCACAGAGAATTCCAAACAAGAGAAACCCAAAGAGGCCCACACCAAGACACATCATAATTAAAATGCCAAAAGTTAAAGACAAAGAGAGAATCTTAAAAGCAGGAAGAGAAAAGCAGTTACTTACCAAAAAGGGAGCTACCATAAGATTGTCAGCAGATTTCTCAACAGAAACTTTTCAGGCCAAAGGGATTGGCATGAGATACTCAAAGTGATGAAAAGCAAGGATCTACAACCAAGATTACTCTCCCCAGCAAGGCTATCATATAGAATTGAAGGAGGGATCGAGAGCTTCCCAAATAAAAAGCTGAAGGGGTTCATCACCACCAAACTAGTATTATAAGAAATGTTAAAGGGACTTCTTTAAGAAGAAGAAAAAATAAATAAAAAATATGAATAAAAAATATTTCAAGAGAAAAAAATCTCACTGACAAAGATAAACACATAGTAAAAACAGTGGATCGACCAATTCTAAAGCTAGTAAGAATGTTAAAAGGCAAAATTAGTAAGATCATGTGTGATTACAACAATAAATTAAGGGATACACACAAACACATAACTGAAGAAAACATAATGATGAAAACATAAATGTGGAGGGGTGAGTAAAAACGGTAGTGATTATAGAATGTGTTCAAACTTAAACAACCATCAACTGAAAATAGACTGCTATAAACATAGTTTGGTATATACGAAGCACATGAAAACCATAAACCAAAAATCTGCAAAAGATATGCTAGAAATAAAGAAAAGAAATCTAAACACAACACTACAGAAAGTCATAAATATACAAGAGAAGAGAGCAAGAGAATAAGAAAGGAACGGAAGAAAAACAATCAGAAAAAACTAAATAAAATGGCATTAACTATATACCATAAATAATAAAATCTTAAAATTTACAACATGGATGAGCCTAGAGGGTATTGTGCTGGGTGAAATGAGTCAGACAGAAAAGGACAAATGCTACATGATTTCATTTATATGTAGAGTCTAAAAAGCAGGATAAATAAACACAACAAAACAGAAACAAACTCCTAGATATAAAGAACATTTTGATAGTTGTCAGATGGGAGGAGAATTGAGAGAATGGGTGAAAGAGGTGAAGGGATTAAGAAGTACAAATTGGTAGTTACAAAATAGTCATGGGGATGTAAAGTACAGCATAGGGAATATGGTTGACAATATTGTAATAGCTATATATGGTGTCAGGTGGGTGCAGGACTTATCAGAGGGATAACTTTGTAAGTTATATGACTGTCTAACCGCTTTTTTGTACACTTGAAGCTAAAATAACATTGAATGTCAAAAGTAATGGAAAAAATTAAAAAACAAAACAAAACATCTTATCCTGATACTGAGGAAATAAGACTCTAAAAAATTACATGAGTGTGCAGGCCCAGAGGAGCAGTATTGGAGCCAGAATTCAAATCTCTGGCGGTGTTGGGCCGGGGGGGTGGGGTGCGTTCCAAAGCGCAACCTTTCCACTGGTAAGAAACTCCTTAGTTTGTTGTCCCAGGTTCCCCAAAGAAAGACCTTGGCCAAGATCCCAAGAAAGATCAGGAGTGGGAGGAACTTAGCTGGTATGGGATGAGGGTCACAGTTTTTCTTAAGTTTTGACAGGTGGCAGTTTTAGGTGGCAAGTAAATGTACTTATGTTGTTCATAGGAACTCTGAAGTTCATATTTTTCATCAGTGACTCAGGAAAGGTCATCCTAAATCTCCTTTTACTTCTTAGGAGTCCAGGCAATCTTTTCTATAGTCTCTGCTTTCCCTTTCACTCCACCCCTAAGCTTTCAGCTCAGAGAGAGAAATTTGCACCTGCTTCCTTCCTACCCCACCCCCAGCTAACCCTTACTCTGACAGTCTCCTATCATCAATAGCAGAGAACAGAGAAATAGGCTTATTCTAGTTCCTCCCCCACCCTCTACTTTTTCCGGTACCAGTGAGTCTGCTGGCGGAGGGCAGCTCTCATCCTAGCTGATAGATCTGTGACCTGGGTCTATCTACTGAATGAATTCTGTTGGAAGATGGAACACAGCAGGTTTCTGGCTGGCCTGATATTGGCTGCCCTTCTCTCCCAAGGTAAGGCTTCTCCAGGTGGGCGGGAGCATCTAGGAGAAGGGACCTGAGAGGGACATTACCACCTGCAGCGAGGACAACTTGAAAGTTCTTCTCAGTGCTAGCTTTAATTCACTAGGCAGGGTTGTCAAGGAGGGCAGGATGGAATGTAGGGCAGTGTCTGAGAAACAGGCTTTTGGCTTGACCAGCTCTAGTTAGAGGTGCATCTTGGCCTTGGGTATCTTGCTGCTTTAAGAGAAGAGCTAACTTTAGGTTGAGCATGAGGGAAGGCAGATTTGGGGTAGGAGAATGACCAACTCATCCCTGTTTGCCTGGTTTTAAAACTGATAGTCCAGGAACCTCCTTGATCTCAGGCAGACTGGGATGAATGGTTATCCTAGGAATCAGCTGTTTTGGGACATCCAGCATTTTCACTGGAAACAGATTCCAAATAAGATATGAGTGTAGGATGTGAAGTATCCGATGTACATGTTTCTCCCAGAGTACACACACATATATTCCTGACCTGCTTCAGAGGCATTGGGATTTTCTAGAGGATGTTCTTATATCCAAATTGGTAACAGAGTGTAAAGCTCAGGGAGAATGTAGATTCCACTTTTCCTCTGGGTTTTGGTGGTGTTCTCAGTCAAAGCAATTCAGTAGATTTAGAAAGGTGCTGTGCATACTTCCAGCCCTTAAACTCTCCACAAGACTTGACTTGTGTGGATCCCCAAGAATGGATTTGATAAAAAAAAGTTTTTTGACCCCTTCTTTTAAGCAAGTGTAGCACAACTAAAAATCTTTACATGGAATTTGCCCTGGATCCCCTTCTGGACCGGTGGGCTGGTAAGTCATACTAGCTTTTCTCCTACCCCCAATCGTTATTGGCCCTGGGAAAAGCTTTAGTCAGTGAGAGTTCCATTCTCTTGGTAGTTGTTGGAGTAAGGCAAAGGGGGAGGAAAGAGGAGGGAGAGAAGCTGAAGTGAAAGTGTTGTAGGTAGCTGGGAAGTAGAATTAGTTTTCCTGGAGAAAAAAATGTGGACACCTCCAAGTGAGGAACATTTTGCCTTTCCACATCTCTTGGATGCTTCAGCAGCCTATGCTCCCCTCTTATTTCTAATCAGTGGTCTGAACACATTTCCAGGATGGTTCTTAGATCAACCCAACTCTACAGTTCCTCTTTTGCTCTGTATCCATCAGGGCCTGCCCTCTGCTTGAACTGCATCCTTGTGCCTTTCCTGACCCCTGCAGTTCATGGGGGAGCATCCCGAAGCCTTTCTCTTGTGACTTCTCTCTCTTTTGCTGGAAGCCTTAAACTGTCCTAGACTTGGAAAGGAGTCCTTCTTAAGTATGAGCCTCAGCAGAACTAGGAGTCTAGTTTAGACCAAAGTGCTGACTCTAGTCACGGTATTTTTTTCCTTAGTGAGCCTCTCCCAGAATCTTGTGGATGAAGTTGAGGACAAAGTGCTTTTGAATTGCAATAGAAGCACCATATGGCTACAGGGAACAAGGGGAAAACTGTCCTCAAACGACCAAAGTCTGGACCTGGGAAAACGCATCCTGGACCCACGAGGAGTGTATCTGTGCAATGAGACATATGAAAACAAATTCAAATTATATACTTTACAAGTATATTATAGAAGTATGTGCTGCCTGAACACTTTGGGTTGGAATGGATGGGGCCTCTGGATATGAGAACTTTCTAGCTGGAGGGGGCTATGGTGGAACAATCTGTTCTCTAAACAAACTGGGGTTACTCTTATAATAGTACAAGCCAGAGTTTGGGAGTTTGAGAGAACTTAACTGATGGAGAAAGAGAAGTAACCCAAGCCTTGTGATCCAAGCAGTAGGGGCTAAGTTGAGAGAGTGATTTGGTCTCCTGCCTTATTTAAATTCCTATAAAGCTGAGACTACTTCTTGGCTCTCCTTAGGGATTCCTTGGGATGAAAGGAAGAGGTGGCTATAGCAAGGTCAGCAGCAGGCCTCTCTCCAAGAATCTTAAGTTGGGTCTTGGCATGAGAGGTCTTGATGCTTCCTTAGGAGGTAAGGATGGTTTCCACCTCTCTTCTTGCCTCCCTTCCCCCATAGTGTGCCAGAACTGTGTGGAGCTGGACTCAGCTACCCTGGCTGGCATCATTGTCACTGACATCATTGCCACTATCCTCCTTGCTTTGGGAGTCTACTGCTTTGCTGGACATGAGACTGGAAGGCTCTCTAGGGGTAAGTGGAAAGGACAGAATGTGTGTGTGTGTGTGTGTGTGTGTGTACATGAATGCATGTGTGTTGTGGATGTAGGTGTGGGTGACTGTGTACCTGCTAAGGAATGGGGCTGGCAAGTGGGTTGTGTCTCATTTGGGAATCATTCCTGCAGTCCTCATAAGTGTTTTTACAACTGGTTATTGAAAGAACTTGTGTCCCCATATTACTCACGCAGACTTCTGAGGGTGTGACCAGCTTCAGGCCCCCTGCAGTGTTTGTGGGGTCTCACTGTCTCATCCTCCTATGCCCTTTATAACTCTCTTTTAAACTAGCTGCTGAGACTCAACATTTATTGAGTAATGACCAGCTCTATCAGGTGAGTCCAGAGGAGAAAGATGAGAATGGGAGGAGGAGTGAGTGGGGATGGAGAAACTGACACTAGGTGTTATGTGCATGTACGAGGGGTCCTAGTGGGGAATTCACTGGGGGAGGGTCTGGAAAGGTCAGGTATAAACTCTCATCTCTGGGACCCACTGGGGTCCTCCCCAGGAGAGTTCTGACTCTGCCACACTATTTCCCCTTTTCATCTCTCAGCCCCTTCGTGATCGGAATGATGCTCAGTACAGCCGTCTTGGTGAAAACTGGCCTCGGAACAAGTGAACCTGAGATTGGTGGCTTATAGGAGCATCAGTTATCAACCACACCTTCTCTCTTTGTTCAGTCAATAAATATGTCTTCTTTCACTCAGCAGGCGCCTGGACTTTTCAAGCCTCCTGAGCAAGGCATGGGAATTGTCCTGCCTTGTTTGGGTCCTTGCTCTCCCTGCCAATCTGTATCATTCCTTCATTGCTTCCCGTCCTCTGCCCCACATGAACAGTCTAATGGACAGCTTCTCATCACTTTCTGCCTCACTGGTGTTTATGGCCTGGTGCACTCTCTTCAGGATCTGCCCCCACGTACTCCCTCGCTATTTGTTGTCTCCAGTTAGCCCCCCATTGTAACCCTTCCTGGGTTTTGGCTTCTTCACCACAGCTGAGGGTGGCTGCTGTGTTCAGGGACTCAGCCGCACAAAAGTTTCCATGACATCACGAGCGGAGGTGGTAGAGACATCAAAGGCCTTGAGACTCACTTCTTATCAAGATGCAGAGAATGTGTGTGAGAAAGTCCCACTTCTGCTAAGGGGCTGGCCTTGGCTTTTTAACCTCATTGTGCAGTAGCCACTAGCTGTGAGAAGTCTTAGCCTAGACCCCTTTAATACCATTTATCTTACTTTCCCCAGAACCTTTGCCCCTGTCTCCTGCAGGATAAACTGGCAACAGAAACCCTTCATCAATTAAATTTCCACTCACTTGGAAAGCTGGAGTTTGAGACTAGGTGGGGACTTAGGATATTTTCAATGGATGTCATCTTTGGTTTCTTTGGTTAGTGGGTTAGTGGTGGTTCTGAATCTTTGAGAGCCTGAGGGAATTGTTAAGAATATAGACACGTGGGCCCCACTTTAGGCATGTAGTCCCTGAGTAATTCTGAAACAACCCCAATTCAGAGTCCTTGGTTTAAATGAAGAACTGAGGTCCCTTACTCTGTGTCCTTCATGCCTGTTCCTGTCTACCATAGGTGGGAACCTCTCCTTTTATTCTCTGAGTAAGAGTAGTTTAGTGAACTTGAGGACATTTAAATGAGAGTAAGCATTTTCTAGACCAGGGTTCCCCAAAGAAAAAAGAATTAAAAACTATATTGCCAGAGATCTGGATGATTCTGACCACTATCTCTTCACGATATACACAGACCTCAATTTTGGTAGAGACAGAATGAACTTCCAATTTACAACAGATGCTGCATTCATGGTTATGATTTATTCCTACCCTTTATATCCCTACTACCATAGTCCTTCTAACCCTAGATCTTGCTTTCACACTGAGTACCTCCACTGAGCAACCCTTCATGGCTTGTATTGTACCAGTGCTTGTATCCTTTTCACACACTGCACACTTCCTTTCACCTGATTCCTCATATGCCTTTATATCCCACCATACCTCTCACTAGTTCTCAACATTGGCCGTATGTTGGAAACTCTTGGGAACTTTAAAAATACTGGTTTCTGGGTGATTCCACCCCCAGGAATTCTAATTTTATTGGTCTGGAGCATCAGGACTTAAGTCGATTTTAACAGGAAGCCAAAGTTGAGAAAAACTGCCCTCCCTCCATCTGAGCCCTTCTAGAATCTTGTGTCCCTTATGGCTCTATTTTTTTGTGTGCTTTTAAAAAACAGATTTACTGAGGTAAACTGACACAAATAAACAGCATATATTTAGCGTAAAATTTGGCAAACTTTGGCATATGTAGCCCACTTGTGAAACACTACCACGATCAAGATAATGAACGTATCCAACACTTTGAACAGTTTCCTTGTGCCCCTTTGCATGCAATCCCTCCCCGCTCCCTCTGCTTATCTCCACACCCTCCAGGCGACCACTGATCCACTTTCTGTCATTACAGATTAGTTCTCATTTTTCTATAGTTAATATACATGAAATAATATATTATGTACCCTTTTCTGGTCTGCCTTCTTACATTCAGCATAATTATTTTGATATTCATCCATCTTGTTGCATCTTTCAATAGTTCGTTCCTTTTTTGTTGTTCAGTAGTATTCCATTGTATGGATATGCCACAGCTGTTTATACTATCTGTTGATAGTCTTTTGGGTTGCTTCCTGGTTTTGGTTATTACAAATAAAGCTGCTATGAACATTAATATATGTCATTGTGTGGACATATGCTTTTATTTCTATTGGATAAATACTCAGAGGTGGAATGGCTGGGATACAACTTTTAAAGAAAGTAGTTTTGTTATTCTAGTTCCTTGGCATTCCAATATAAATAGGCTTCTCAAATGCTTACTACAAAATGCCTATTGGCATTTTGATTAAGATTGTACTGAAATTATAGATCAATTTGGGGAGAATTGATGTCTTAATGATGAGTCTTCCAATCCATGAACATGTCTTTTGTCAGATTTATCTCTAAATATGTTATTTTTTTTATGTTATCATATATGGTACTTAAAAATTTTCAATTTCCAATTGTTCATTGATAATATATAGAAATATAATTGCTTTTTGTAAATCAATTTTTACCCTGAAATCTTCCTAATCTCAATTATTAATTTTAGTAGTTTTTGTTTTGTAGATCCCATTAGATATTCTACATAGATAATCATGTAGTTTGTGACTAAGACAGTTTAACTTTTTTGTTTCCAATCTGGATGTGTTTTACTTCAGTTTCTTGGCTTATTACATTAGTTAGAATCTCCAGTATAATGTTGACAGGAGTGCAGAGAACATTCTTACCTCATTTGTGATCTTAGAGGGAAAGCGTTGTCTTTCAGCATTAAGCATGATGTTGGCTGTAGGTTTTTTTTAGATGCTCTTTCACAAGTTGAGGACATTCCATTCTTTTTCTAGTTTGTTGAGAATTTTTAGCAAAAATAGTTGAGCATTGTCAAGTGCTTCTCTGCATTGATTAATATGTTTACATGGTTTTACTTTTTTAGTCTGTTAATATGGTAAATTACTTTGGTGGCATGATCTATTAAACCAATCCTGCATTCCTTGGTCATTATATATTTTTCTTTTTATATATTATCAGATTATATTTGCTTAAATTTTATGAAGAATTTTTGCATCTATTCATAAGGGATCTTGTCAGCAGTTTTCTTGTAATGTCTTTGATTTTGATATCAAAGTATATTGCTTAGAGTTTGCCACAAAATCTGCAAAGTGGATTAGCAGGCTGGAGATGCAGGAAAGAGATGATGTTGCATCTTGAATCTAAAGACAGTTCAGAGACAAAGAATTTTCTGTTCCTCAGAGGACCTCAGTCTGTTTTTTCACAAGGCCTTCAACTGATCGGATGAGGCTCACTCATAGTATGGAAAGTATCCTGCTTTACTCAAAGTTTACTGATTTAAATGTTAATCTCAACTCAAAAAAACCTGTACGACAACATCCAGATCATCTAGATTTGTTTGACTAAATATCTGGGTACCGTGGCTTAGCCAAATTGACACATACAATTAACCATTATAGAAGATAAGTTTAGATGAGTTGGAAGTATTCCCTCTTCAATTTTCTGGAAGAGTTTGTACAGAATTGGTATTATTTCTTTCTATTTAGGTTATCTATTTCATCTTCAGTGAGTGGAGAGCCTTCTTTGTCTTCAAATTCTATCCATCCTTCCCTTCAAGGCCCAGATCAAGTCTCTCTTCATCCATGGAACTTTCCAGACTGTCTCATTTCTCAGTCCCTCCTCAGAACACCAGCAACACTGTAGCACTAACAAGTGCTTAGTCACATTTGTTCTTCTGCTGTTGTTTAACTTTTTGCATGCCTGGGCACTGTTATATGACTGCAAGCTCTTTGAAGACTGGAACGGTTTATTTGTGTCTCCTTAGCATTTAACATGGTACTTGCCTGCCACATGAGTGATCAGAAGAGCACTCATTGAAGGAATACCTAAACAATCACATACAGAGCTCTTAAGTCAGGAAAATGGAGAGCATTCTTCATGATCACAGTTGGGACTGGAGCTGAACATTACTGGCTGCTAATTCCAGTTCTGTTCCTCACTAATTGTACACTTTGGGCAAATGAGCCCTCATAGTCTCATGGATATACAAGGACAACATCTACCTTGTCAAGTTATCATAAAAATTAAATGAGATAATGCACCTAAATGAGATAACGCACCTTTATTAGATGAGATAATGCACCTAAAGTTCTCAGCACAATTTCTAGAACACAGTAAATACTCATGCTAGGCCTCACTTCCCCTTGACTGGGCACCATCAATTATACCAGGGACAAAACTTCCACTCCACTCCCAGGCCAGCCTGCTGATCTGGCTAGTGAAGGTCAACATCGTGGAGATGTTGTGAGCATTAGTATTGAGTGTTAGAGGGAAAGAAGCCGTGTTTCAACAGTGACTATCAAATAGAAACTGTAGCCATAAGCCCAAGGCTGAGTGTGAATAGTATATGGGGGACTGGTAACCAAAATGGCTTTTTCAGTCCTGGTCACATACATAAATAGCCCTGTGATGAGCAGGGAGGTTTCTGAGTTCAGAGAGGGAGAGAAGAGAACCCACTGGCTTGAGTGGACTAAAGTAGATCTTCAGTGCTCTGGTCTCCTCTCGCTGCAAGCTGTGTGTGTACCCTGGGAGACTGAGAAAGAAGCCCTCCCACACCGGCCTCTGGCTGCTGCTGCATCTCTCTCACCCTCTCTCTGCACACACTCCACATCCTGGCTGCTAAACCACAGCTGCTTCTGGCTGCAGGCTGCTGCCTCTCAGAGTGGAAGAAGGCGTGACAGCACCTCCTTGCCCTACTTCCCTCTCCCTGACTCTGGGGCTCCTCCTTTTAGAGGCAGTTTGTGGAAATCTGTATTCCATCCCTCAACACTTTTACACTTCCACTCTTCTCACTGCTGCCTTCATCTGCCTTTTAAAGCCTTTGTTTCTGTCTCATCCATGTTTTTGAACTGACCACTCTGTCAGGGACTCATCACTCTCTGCCACCCTTGATGTTTTTCTCCAAGAAAAGTTAGTCAAATGACTAATTGTTTGCTCTTTATCTTCTCGCTCAAGCTTGCAGTCTCTCTCTCTCTCTCTCTCTCTCTCTCTCTCTCTCTCTCCCCCCCTGTCTCTTCCTCTCCCTCTCTCTCTCTCTGTCTCTCTCCCTCTCTCTCTCCCTCTCTCTCTCTCTCAACTATTTCCTGATGCCTTCTCTAAAGAGAGCTTCAAATAATGCTCTACCCATTGTGAAAACATGTAGTATTTGCCTTTGGGATCATGGCTGGGGAATTTAGTCAAAGGTAGAGAGGACCTGAGTTGTTTCAGGAAATGGCGCAGCCTCTGAGGGCCTTTCAGAAAAGAGGAACAACAATTCTTGCAGCCAAACACACTTTATTTCTTTTCTCTCTCAGCTGACAAGGAGCCTAACACATTCATGGACATGGAAACGACTGCCCAGGGGCCTACATTGGAGATAGGAGAGAGGAAACAAAGGCCTGGCTCAGGGCCAAGACCTCTGCCAACATTTATCCAGTCCATTCCCACAGAGGGTTGCCAAAGAGAGAGCTGAAAAGATAGGAAGGTAGATGGAATAATTAGGGATGGGGCATCTTATACACAGGAAAAGGAGGGAACGGAAGGAAGAAGTAACACTCACCAGGGAAGACAGGAATTGGGGGCGGTGATGAACAGCAGAAATAAATATTCAGACAAAGGTACAGGCCAGGTGTGAAGGGGTGAGTAGCAATGATATTTCAAAGGACAATAAGGCAGCAATATCCCAGGACTGTGCACCAGCAGAGAAGGCAGGAAGGAGGGAGCTGGGGACAAGGCTGCAGGTGTGAGTTCCACAAGAAGCAGAGGAACAATTCTGTGGAGTCCAAGACTTGCCCAGGGAACAGGTGCCTGAAGAGGAGCCAGGTCTGGGCCAATGGGAAGCAGTGTCCTTGGGAGCTGTCAGATGCCTCTCTGATTCAGGCCAGAATACAGGTCCCTCTGGCCTTTCCGGATGGGCTAGGGGTGGAGTAGAGAGGGGTGGTCAGCAGGATAGGAGGAGGTGGTTCCTCAAAAAGACAGCCCTCTGAAGACCTAGCTTTAGTGTAATGGAAAGAACCTTGAACTAGGAGTCAGGAGGCAGGCTTGAACTTTAACTTGGCATGGACTGGTAATAGACTTAATTGCGTCACTTCCTTCCGTAAGTCTCAGCTTTCCAATCTCAAAAATGGGAATCTAAAGACCCACTTCTCAGGGTTTTTGTCAGAAAGAAATGAAGTTACTCATGGGAAAATGAATACCACATGCTTGGCTGGTGCTAAATAAATATTTGTTGAAATTGTCCAAGTGTGATATTCAAAATATTTAACAATTGGTATTATACATACAGCAAACAATCAGAACAATCCTGATGGTTCTCTGCTATGCCAGACATTAACATTTTAGTTGCTTAATCAAGAAGCAGTCTAGGTGGGGGAGGCCATAATATCTGGCAGTGTATGTTGGGGGTGGGAGATGCTTGAGGCTATTTGCCAGTGAAGTATTTTAAAAATTCAACAACCGATATGACTGTATTGGTACATTCTGGCGGAACATCAGTCCTGAGTTTATCATGTTAGAATTTACATATATGGTATTCCCCATGGCTTTGTCCCAGCTAATGAATAAAAGGAAAAAAAGAAAAGAAAAAGAGGAGTATTGCCACCTGCCACCCCCACTCCTCCCAGTGGAGGAAGCCATGCAGGCTTTGAGATGGCCCCATTCTATCATGAAGGAGGCAGAGGGAGGCACAGAGTGGGTTGTTCTGGAACCTTGACTGAGGGGGTGGGCTTTGAAGTGTCTGGTGGGCCAGATGGACAGTCCCACCTGTCCTCTTCTCCCCTTCTCCCCATTCTATCCCTTGTTACCTCATAGTCTGGATTGGGAACAGGTGGTGGCCTCTCCTTGTTTTGTCCTGCGGAGGAGAGATGAGAGAAGGATTTGTTTCCACGTAGGAGTGCAATGAGACCCAGATCAAGGATCGAAAACCCCTTTGTTCTCTCTTCCACTTCTTCCTTTTTCCGTTTCAGTCTCCCTTTCTCTTCTCTTTCTTTCATCTCATTGCTAATGCCTTCCCACCCCAAATATACACTGTTCTTATCCTTCTGTGACTTTCCTCAGCTTATGGTCCTTCCACTGTTTCCTTACTCATGGAGGAAGGGAAAGGAAAAGGCAGAACTAATGTCTAAAAGTCTCTCTCCCCACAGATTAGGGGTGAAATCTGATTATTGCAGAACACTGACAGGCATTTGAGGAAGCCCATTCTGTTAATAAACTTTTTTGGCACTTTTCTAGAATGGGGAGGAGAGGAGTGATCTGAGATGCGAAACCCTCTGTTGAGATCTTGGCAGTATAGTGAATGTTCTGTAGAAGCTGTCTTGCCTAGCCATGGACTTGCTGCCTCTTCTGGCCCAGGCTAGATATCCCCCTTGGTGGGAATCTCCTCTAACCCAACTCAATGGTCTTACCCCTGGGCTTGCCACCAGTACCCACTCCTCTGGTCACAGGTTTGGCCTTGGCCTTTCTATTCTTGCTCCAGTAATACACCAACAACAGCAAGCCAAGAGTGATGCAGATGTCAACAATAATGATTACGGCCACTGCCATCAGATCCACCTCCATGCAATTCTCACATACTGCAGGGGACAGGGGGGTGGGGAGAAGAGGAAAAATCATCAAAAAAAAAAAAAAAAAGAGAAGGCACAAGGACACTGGGTGTGAGGAAGGAACAAATGAAGGGGATTCTCCCTTCAAGACCCACATGCTGGCCACAACCAGAGCCTTCCTTTTTAATACATTTATAATGATGAACAAAGTGTGGCTGTTATGGATAGAAGCTCTGGTGTCAATCTGGGTTCAAGTCCCAGCTCCATTACTCACTAGCTGTGAGAATTGTGAAATGTGTTTTCAATTCACAAAGATTCTGTCCTCTCATCTATAAAATGGGAATAAAATAGTATTTAACTCACATGGTTGTTAAGAGGATTATATGAAAAAAAAAAAATACTCCTGGCAAGTGTTTAGTGGTACTGCTTAAAACTTAATAAGCACTCAATAAATATTACTATCATTATTATTTATTATGATGCCTTAGCTTATGGCATTTTATTATGGTAGCTTTGAGTCTCCTTTGCAAATCCTCCTGAAGAATTTATCTCCGGATAAAGCATCAGATGGACACACATCAGTTTGTCATAATTCTGGATGTGCTATAATGCAAATGAATTAATTCTGTCCCTTGGGAATTTGTTGTTTTAGATCAAGTGCTGACTGAGCTTACTTAGACAGCCCCATATTGGTTTTTAATCTGTATTTCAGAAAAAAAATGATGCTGTGTGGCCCCTGAGAGTCCTAGTATTGACTATAGGAGAAACACAAAGATGTCAGGGGACTGTGAGTTGTGTTATGGGAGGTAATTGAGGGTACCCTTTTGAAATGGTCTTCCCTAAAGAATCTAGTAGGGCTTACGCTGGAGACCTATATTACCTCTTGCTTTCAGGTAGAGCAAATTGCGATTGTTCTTAGAGGCACTTGTGTAGCAGGAATAATAACCATTATCCTCCATTTCTGAAAAATTCTCCAATAATAGCGTGTCTTCGTTAGTGCGTCGTGGTTTACCATCTTTTTCCCATATTATTGTTCCAGATTCAGAATCCTCAGGGCATGTCAGCATTACCTTTGTCCCGGAGATGGAGACTTTATATACTGGAGAATGGGGGAAAGAGAAGGGAAATTGGAAGAAGAAGCCAACAAGATTTCAGAAAAGGCAAATTAATAACAAAAGAATCAACCAAATGCAAAATGTCATGTGTCATCTAGGTCTTAGATTTTCTTGTCAAAAGGGAACACCGCTGGCTATAGGGTATGAAAAAGGGGCTATGTAGGAAAAGGAGGACTAGAGAACCTTTTGAAGTTGACTTCAGAGTTTAGGCATGGACATGGGGACTTGGGAAAGGGAGGATAGAAGTAACCAAAAACCTATAAAAGTCTCTATTTGTAATGTTTCTAAAATGAGTGTTGGAAATATAATGTTGAGAGGGCCTCAGTTCTTGGGATTAATCTCTCTCAGTCAATTCCTTCTCCTCTGTCCACACTGACCTGCATCCTCAAATAGGGCATTCATAAAAGACTGATAAACTTACTTTTCAGTATAACAGAAGATTCATCTGAAAATGAAAAAAGGAAAGACTGGTAAGAAAATAATCTTGGTTAAAGTTTAAATTGTAGGTAAAAATTTTCAAGGGAACTGTACACAGTCCCCCAAGAATTCCCAAAGAGGGCCATCCTTTAGGAAGTCCCCAGCCTTAAAGGTGGGACATGTAGTTAGCCCATGAGGTAAGCTTCTGAATGTAACTCAGAAATGTCAAATTGATAATATATCAACATGTGCTTCTTGGTCTACATGCACTGAAGCTCAGAAAGTCTTCAAATACTAAAGCTGAAAAATTATAGAAGTCTTCAAGTTTATCCTCTTACATTAGCAAAAATCATATTCCATATAGATATTAAAAGGTCTTCTCAGAGATAAAGACCTTGATATTTTTGAATTGCTGATATTTGGGCTTACCTATTTTTCATTATTCAGAAGTTCTCATAACTAACAGGATCCCTCATAATAGAGATCAAACATCTTTCTTCTTCTTCTTTATTTGAATTTCTATAAGAGTTTATTTGAGCCCAAACTGATGGCAATTGCTAGGAAGAAAGATCTAAAATGCTCTAAACATCTTTCTTTTTATTCTGTACCACTCTGTTGTTATTGCCCTTAAATTATGTAATGCATTATACATATTTTAAGGGAATAGTATTCCAATAAAAGGTGGCTCTATTTTAAATATCCTTGAGTATAATCAACTCTCAATTATTTTTGTTAGAGGGAGGAACTATTGACGTGGACAACTGAAATTCATTAATAGAATTTGGGGACCCAGCCACGTTTCCCACAGCAGGCAATTTTGTCCCGGGAATATGGGGCTGGCGTGCATCCTCATTTCCTGGAAGACTTGTGGCTGGGACACTGGGCAGCACTAGGCTATGCTTGAGCCTGGATATGACAGCTAGAAGAGAGAAGAGGTGGTGGTGCTCAGAGACAGTCTTTTCTCCGAGGTATTTTGCTACAGTATGCTATTGGGCACAGATCACTGGACTGAGTCAGAAGCCCTGTGTTTGAATTCCAGATCTGCCTTAGGCTGTGTGACCAAGGGCAAGTCATCTCACTTCTCTGAGCCTGTTTCTTCATCTGGAGAATGGAGATAAAACATGTATCTCACAGGGCATTTGTGAAAATTAAATGGATTATGAAAGCGAATATGGATAGAGCATAGAAGATGCTCAGGAAAAATGTTAGTTACTTTTTTCCTTTTCTTGTTAGGGTCCTGTTACAATGGAGAACAGAACTGAGTTCTGACTCAGTTACTCAGGTAGCTCTCTGGCTGAGATCACACAGAATGTAAGTAAACAAGTCTTTCTTCAGGTTTACCCATCTGCTAATAATTGAGAGTTAAGTATAATTACAATAGGTAGCTGATAGTATTTCCACTTAGAAATAATTTTTCAGTACTGATGTTTTAAGAGATGTTAAATAAACTGGAAATCATAAATAAAATAATTTAAAAGTAAATAGATATTTACTCTGCTTGGTGTGTTTGTTTGAAAAAGAGACGTAAAGAAAATTGTACACAACTTTCATTGGCACAAATTTAGCAGTACAGTTCAGACTTACACATGCTCATACGAAGGCCTAGATGTTTATGCTTAGAAATAGGGTGTATGCTCACAAAGATTTTATCACATCCAGAGGCAGTATTTCATAATGGTTAAGAAAATGAGCTTCAGTATCAGCTACATCTGCATTTACAGTTATCTCTGTGATTGGATTATTTATTTATTTTCTAACCTTGGTTTTCTTATCTGTAGAATATGGATGTTAAAATTAGATGAGGAAATTCAGGTAAATATTTAGGGCAATACCTAGAACATACATGCTCAATAAACTGTAATGCTTATTATCTAGTCTGCATGGTTCCCTTATGATAATACCTGAAATTCACCTACTGCCTTCTATATGTCAGATAATGTTCTAAGTGAATCATTCATTCAATCCCCATAACAATCTTACAGGCTACATATCATTATTATTTATTTTACACATGATGATGCTGTGGCACAGAAAAGTTAAATAAATTATTCAAAGAAACTCAGCAAGTCCAGCTAGATTCAAATATGGCTGTTTAGCTTCAGAGTTAGATTCTTAACCTCATATTAAACAGCCTACATCTCCTCTGCCTAAAATACTCTTCTTCCCTAGAATATAAGCTCATCCTTTAAAATTCAGCTGAAGAATCACCTCCTCTGGGGAACTTTCCCCAACTACTCTCTGTAGAGTTGACCACTCTTCTCTTTATATTTTATTTTATTTTACTTCATACCTAACTATATCATAGCATGCAACACACTATATCATCAATTATTTATCTCTCACAAAAGACCAGCTTCTTAAGGGGAGGGAATCATTTATTCATTAAAAAAATATACATTGAGCACCTATTCTGTGCCAGGCAGTGGGCCAGGTAAATAAGACACCATCTCTGCATTCAATGATTTATATAAAAACGTGTGGTGACTCCAATCCTCACCCACATGTATCTTCTTTCCTGAATGTATGCACAGGGATACATATCACATTTAGCAATGATCAGATATGACAGCAACAAACAAACAAGCACTTCTCATGCACGTGCTATTGAGAGATAGTTGTATTTTCCCTCAAAAAGTTCTGGTTCTCAATGTTTCCTATGGTGATTGTCCTCTATGACCATTTTGTCCCACATTTGAAAAGAGGTTGTATAGAGTGAAAATCCTCTTACCGATATCTTCATTCTTTGAAAAGGAAATGATAAAAAAATCACTAGAAATACTTTTATCAGCTGTTAAGATTAGTCCCTACTTTCTTCAGCCTTTAAAAAACAATGGAACTTCAAATTCCCCATGGCTGTATAAGAAATGCTGTTTGGGGCCCTATGTCCTACATTAAACAATTGAAGGCTATTTAAAAAAACGGATTTTAAGTAAACATTTCACTATATATACCAAATTATTACATTGTATACATTAAACTACACCATGTTATATGTTAACTATATCTCAGTAAATTTGAAAAAACCGATCTATATTGGGCATCAATCAAATGATAAACAAAAAATCAAATGGCAATAGCGTGCAGAGAAGATGAGTTATCCTGAGGCATATTAGTGCTTTTGACATATCCCATTTGTCAATAATGTAACATTAAAGCATGCTGCATGGTAAAAAAAAAAAAAAAATTATCCCAAGGACTCTACAAATTAGGCAGTGCAATGGAATGTAGACTGGCACGATGACTGCCTTTAAACAAAATTGGTTCACTCAGTCTGGAGGAGCCGATTGAATAGAAAGACTTCTAATATTGGAACATTCTTTACTGCTATGACTGAGAAAGTAATTCCAGGCCAGGCACACTCATATGTATGTGCACACATGATCACACAAATATGCACATATTCAGAGTATTTGGCATGTGGTTCTGAATGCACACTGGAATGCTGCTCCAGAGGCTCATTTGCTGCGTACCCATGCATGCATTCAAGCCACATATCCTCTACAAAATCTCTCATCAAATACGAAATGCAAGCAAATTAAAACTGTTGGTACTTTTAACTTCATTTAATAGTCTCAATTTTTTTCTTTTGAATAGTTAAGACTCATTATTTCCTGTGATCTCTGTTGTTTCCTTCTTCTTTGCTAGAGCCAGAAATATCTCTAGACTTGTGAAGAAAAGGCAAAGGAGAAGATGGTAGAAACCCCTTTTACTGGTCTCTGTGGGAGGTCTAGAGAAAATTCTCCTCATAAATATAAAGAATTCTAGGCTGATTTCATGACAAGGAAATAAAGCATATCTCACCTTCTTGCCCCCAAGCACCAACTAGAAAATAAAATTATAAGAAAAAAAGAGTTAGTAAATGTTGTGAGTGCTGAAATCTCAAGCAGAAAACATACCATGGTCTTGTCTGAGCATTTCTAAACATCTGAAGTCCTTCCCAAACACTACTGGATCACGGTCATTCCTGTTTCCTAGACAAGTGACACATACTGCTGAGTACTAGCGAGGGATTCCTGGTCAGTTTGGGATGAAACATAGCAAGAAAGCATCTAGCATTAAATATGACCACACAATATTTGACAAACAGAAGTTAGAAAAAGTTGGGCCGCTTTTGGGTGACTAAAGAAATAGTAAAAATATTTTGCAGCCAAACCTCCGTTTTGAAAATTGGCCTCTGACTGTGGAAGAAAAACAAGCTCTTGGTTAGGTACAAACTCTGAGATTCTTGTTCCATTTCTGGTTATTTCTTGTCTGATGGTTCAGTTTTTCCATTTGTTTTATGCTTGAGACAGATGAAAATACTCAAAACTTTAGTTACTTATCAACTACAGCCTGTGCACTAGAGAGCCTGATCACATTTTCACCGGGCCCTTCAGATCCCCTCACTCAGAAATATCTGGGATTCATTACAATGACCAGTTTCCCTGGATTTGCCTGAAAGTTATCTGTATACCTGGACCTTTCTTTTACCAATAGTCTCTACAATGGGTGAGTCACCACCTTCCCTTTTCCCCACTCCGATAGCCAGAGCAGACTAGGCACAATCTCATGACGCCAAACCTCTAGGGGAGCTTGGGTCTTTGATAGTCATATTCTCTCTCTCTCTGAAAAGCATAGTTTATACTATAGGCCTCTAAGAAAATGCCTGACTACTTCCTGCAGGAGTCACATCCTGCTCCTTGACGCTCATACTGTGTTCCTTGGACCAGTAGCAAACTAATAAGCCTGAGAGCTTACTAGAAATGCAGAATCACAATCCCAAATCCAGAACTCCTCTAGCAGAAGCTTAACAAGATCCTCAGGTGATTTGCGTTTGCATACAAGCTCTAGAAACCCAAGATGAAGCAGGAAGTGGAGACATCATGGCTGTGGCTCTGAGGTAGGAGCCCCAGCTGTGATATCATTTTGTAGGTCTCTGAAATAAAACCATAGTGAGCCATTTTGCCTCCTGTAATGCAGTCATTGAGAGCACAGGCCTTGTAGACAGATAGCCTTGATTTCCCAGATCAGCTTTGGCACTTACTGTACAGTTTTAAACAAGTTATTTAACTTCTTTGAGTATTAGCTTCTTCATCTACAAAATAGGGAATGTGATGTTTACCTTCCAGAATGGAGGTAAGGATTAAATTAGTTAACACATATAAAGAATTTTTTTACATAGTATCTAGAACTCAATAAATGGCAACCTTTAAAAAAAATCTTATTTATCTTATATGGGATATGGAAATGCTCTTGCTTATTTATCAATTTATAGTCTACCTTGCTTCAAAAAGGACTAAACTCATTGAAAGCTCTTGATTAACTGAAAAAAACTGAAAATTATGAAGTGTTTTATTGTCTCAGACACAAAGCTTACTATATCCTGTGCAGAATTTGGGTTCAACTATTTAGTTTCCTCAGAACAAGGAGTGATGGTTAGGTCTTCTAATCTCTTTGGTGTTAATTCTTAAGGGCTGGGTAGTTCACTGACAGAACAAACTGGTTCTTGAAGGCATAGAGACTACTTTGTCTTCAGTAGATATGATCACCCTTACTGCTTTTTTTGGTTGTTCCCTGAAAATTCTCCCAAGTGCCTGGGGCATGCTCACTGTAAGCCTGCAGCCCTAGTTCTTCATGCTAACATTACACAGTCTCTTACATCTTCTAGTACATGAGGCCACTGGGCATCACAGTCTCTTACATCTTCTAGTACTTGGTACCACTGGGCATCACCAGGTTAGTCTGTGAGCCTTCCCACGGTCTGGAGAAATACCACCTTTTCATTCCATCCTACTCACCTGATAAGAGGCAGAGTCCCAGAACTCTCCAGAGATTTCCCGAAGGCATTCTTCTCTCACTGGATACTTACTCTACCTAAGATGGTGGAGGCCAGTTGGCTTATTACTTCTGAAAAAGAAACCAAAGGACTTTTTCAAAACCCCTGCTGAAGATGAGTACCCTGGGGCCATTGCTCCCAATGCTGAGATGATAAAGGGGGCTTTGTAAGAGAGAGACTCACCATTTTCCGAAGCGAGCAACTAAGACTGGGTGGGGAGGCGGGTTTCTGAACCCCACACAGGAAGTGTGGTGGTGGTGGTGGGGGCCTCTGGGCCTATCGGATTCTACGTCACTTAAAAACGTTTGAGGCAGAGGCAGCCACCTGGATTGGCTGGGGAAACTTAGGCCCCATATCTTCTCATAGGACAAGCAAGAAGACTGGCAGAACCTCAAGGTGTGGTGGAAAATACCTGCAATTTAGCTGCCTAGGCCTTGCACAATCCCCACATTGGGGATTCCTTTCTCAGATACCCCTCCCCCACAAAGAAGATGTGACAGGAAGAGGGAGAAGCACTGAATAGTTGTTTTCTTTATGGCATACCAGGCATGGAACAACACGGTGCAGCTATTTTTTAAAAAGCCGTTGGCTTGAAAATACACATTGGCTTAAAACCATCAGATATCATTTTTTTGCTTCTAATATTTATAAAAATATTTTAAAATACAATATTTAATGTTGGAAAGGGAAATAATGAGTTATAGTCTCAAAATACTGAGGTAAGTGTAAACTGATACAAGCTTTCTTTATTTTTAAGCATGTTAATCAAATGCTTACTATATGCCAGGCACTGTGCTAAGGGCTTTACTAACATATCTCATGTAATTCTCAAAACAACCTTCTAAGGTAAGTATTATTTTTATCCCTATTTTATTCTTGAAGAAACTGAGTCTAAGTCAAATTATCTAACTTGTCGCAGAGCTGGAATCCTAGCAAGCATTTTGGGAAAATTCCTTTATTTAGTAAATATTTAATGTCTACCATGCTGTAGTATATGCTGGGTGCTAGTAATACAGCAGTAACATAATAGTCCATGTAGAGGATGAAAAGAAATGTGGACATTTATTTCAGGAGATTAATGCTGAGAAAGAGGAAATACAGGTGCTATGGGAGTGATAAAAGGAGGCCTAAATACAGTCCAAGGGTTAGAGAAGGTCTCTGTGAGAAGGTGACATCTAAATTTTGAAATGAGATAGATGAATAGGAGTGAAACAGATAGAGAGGAGGACAAGTAAAATATTCCAGACAGAGGGAGCAACATGTTTGAAGCCCAGAGATGAGGAAGAGATTCATTCAAGAAAGTGGGAGTCCAGAATGCCAGATAACTGAAGAGTGAGAAGGAATGGCAAGAAATGGGACAGGAGAGTCAGAAGGAGCCATATCAGATGAGATATACAAACCTTGTTCAAAAATCTTAAGGATTAATCAAGGGCGATGGGAAACAATTGAAGGGTTTAAAACAGGGGAGTGACAGTATCAAATTGTTTAAAAATTTAAATGAAAAAAATTAACTATGGAAGTAATACATGCACATATTAAAAGCAACAAAGAACACAGAAGGGTGTAGAACAACAGCCCCCTGCCCCACCTCACCTCAGACCTATTCCTCTCCCTAGAGAAAACCACTCTTAACTTTATAAACTGTTTCTTTCTGGTGGTTCCTTTCTTATCTCAAAATGTGCATTATCATCATTCGGGTTCTCTGGGAAACAAATTCTGAGATGAAGATTTGCATGCAGGTGGCTCACTGAGGAATAGCACTTCTAAGGAAAGAAAGCAGGCCTGGGCAGAGGAAGAAGGTGAACAACAATGAGATAGCAACAGAGACCTCAACCAATCCCATGGAGAGTCATCAGGCTGGGATGACTCTTCAGAATGGTCTTGAATTGAGGCACATCATCCAGTCTCTGATGTGAGCTGTTCCCAGAGAGGAAGTGTGAACTTGGGGGAGGCGGATGCTTTGCTGAGGACAATTCCTGTGAAAGGGCTCAGCTGTGACCCTTAAGGACACAATCCCAGCAGTCCTCAAGGGGGGACCTGGGCAGCACCACACAGCACATGCAATTCACGCCTTGCATTGCACAGATTCATTTGCTATCTGATAATTTCACCCTATTCTTAAACAGCATTTTCAGGACTCTGTTTGATCTCTTTTCCTGGAGAAACTTAGAAAAGGAAAGTTAGTGAGATAAATTACAGCAGCTGTTCTGGGGGCCCCGTCTGATAGTCATCATCTCCTTCCTTTGTCATCCATTCTAGATAGCTCCAGCCTCAGCTAGCACTTCTGCTGCTGACCTAAGAGAAGACATAGCTTGAGGAGGCTGGGCCCCTCGTTAGCATGGCCTTTTCAGACTGTGCATCCTTGCATTCTAGCATTCTATATGTATTCTCCCTGCTCCCTGACTCCTCCTGATAATAATGAGAGATTCATTCTGTTGGGAGGGTGACTTTTTTTTTTTTTTTTGCCTATTGGTCTCTTGGCAGTGGTAGGTAGCAGGTAGCTTAGTTTAATAGGACTCTTGCTGTGTACCGTGGTGGAAGTATTCTACCTCTGGAAACCATGGCCTCCAGAAACTCAGAGTCTAGAGTTAATGGGACAGGAAGCACTTATTTCCTAAATGGTTTACTGGGAGTAATGATCAGCATGGATATTTTTACTTCCAACCCTTAGTTCCTGGATGCATGTATTCTACCTCTTGGGGACACAGTACCATATTATTGTCTTTGATTTAAGATTATTGCCACATCCTAAAGGATAGTGCTCCAGATTGCAGGGTGTCATCTCAAGTTGATACCTTAGCTGTGTCTTCAATCTAGTGATTGATCAGAGTGTGCAGCTTCAGGATGGTGTGGTATATGATAGAACTAGTGGATCTCATGGTTATATGTCTAAATATCTTTGTTATGAAGTGGGTCCCATGGTCTGTTGTGATGCTATGCAAGATCCAATGCTCATGGATCAGACAGTACATGAACTCTTGGATAGCAGGGCTAACTGAGGCATTGTAGGCAAGAAAGTCAAACCTAAACCCATATCAATTCCTGTTAAATGAATTGGGCTCTTTTCAAATTTGTTTTGGAAGGGGTCCAATGTAATCATATGACCAAGAAGTGGCTAGTTAGTTTTCTCCAGGGATGGTCCCAAAACAGAGGCTCAGCATTGGACCCTGTTTTGACAGCAGCAGGAGCTAGATCAGCCTTGGTTGAGTGGGAGGCCATTCTGTTGTACACAGATGTAGTCTCCACTAATGCCACCATAGCTACTATGTTCATAACTCCATTGTCCCAGTTTTGGGATGACCGAGGACAGGAGTTAATTCACATTAGCTAGCCAAGTCATTTTCTTCTACGTTGTGTTGTAGTGTCTTTTCCATGATGGATGTTCTCTGGTGGATGTTAACATGTGACAAAAAGATTTTCATACTTTACAATGACTCCTATAGGTCCAAACACATGTCTCTTTTCCATACTTCCTTGCTCCCACTCTTCAAATATTACTCATTTTAGGCCCCTGACCAATAAATTAAGCCATTCACCACTGCCAATGAATCTTTCTATATTCTTATATCAGGCCACTTCTCTTTTCACATAAAGTGGATGACCAGGTACAATGCCAGAAACTCTGCCTTTGAGATGATTTCCCCTAACTACTGTCTTTCAAGGCTACTTCTGCATGTGTCTGCAAGTCTGCAGCAATCCATTTTGGCTTGCATCCATATACTGAGCTGACATCTGTCAACAAAGCCCAGGTTTTATTCTCCATTGTCAGCTAGTCCGTGGGGATGGCCCACCATGGAGCCATAGGTTGAGCTGAGGATTAAGTGTTCATGCAACAGTGATGGATGATGTGGGAATATGAGCCAAGTACTCTTGCAGTTTGTATTTTCTGGTACTGCTCGTGCCTGCTCCAGATTGTATTCCTTCCATCTTATGATAGATTGTTGTTGCATTCACCTAACTTTCTGACTTGGTGGGCTGGACAGTGCCTACCTTACAACAGGCAGTTTGGGTTTAAAGTCAATTGCTGTTCCACAAACAGTCACTTAATTCTACCAGTATATCTACTCTAGCAGTATGCCAGGTGCTGATTTTTGATTGGTATAACATTCTCTGCTGCAGAATGGCTTTGTTCCAGAATCCTGGGTGCCAACAATATGATTCTCCTGCTAGAACTTGCCATAAACTCCAAAAGACATTTTTTCCCACCACAGATACTACTCATTACCACCACGTATGTCAAAATATGGCCCTAGGTGCAGAGGTCCTTGTACTGCAACCTGGACTTGTTGCAGCTATGTTTACTGCTCTGGGCTTCACTCAAAGCTGAAATGGTTCCATGTTACATGGTAAATAAACCAAGTGTGGAATATGCTCTTCTAAAACATAAGAAACATATAAGATATTTTGTTTCTTTCTTAATGGTGAAGGCAGTGCAAGTTCTAATAACACATCCTCCACTTTGGAAAACATGGCCAGTCCAAGACCCTGTACTCCTATAAAGGTCATTTATGTGGCAGGTTCCTGAATCTTCATAGAATCTCTCTCCTATTCCCCAAGGCCTCTGAGAACTTGCCATTTCTGGCTTATTTAATGAGCATGATGTCATTGATATAGTGAACCAATGTAATGTTCCGAAGGATTCAGGTCTCTTCAGAGTATGTTATGACAGAGAGCGGATTCGTTAATATAGCCTTAGGCAAGATCAGAAAAGTATATTATCACTTGTGTGTGAATGCTTTAATTAAGGTATTACATTTGGCTTAGCTGCTGCAATGGGGCTACTACTTTGCTAAGTTTGCAGTAGTCCACTCATGCACAATGATACCTCATTTTTGCAAAGATCAGATTAATGAATTAAATGAATTATGATAGATCCACCATCTTTGTATCTTTTAAGCCTTTCTAAGTGACACTAATCTCTACCATTCCCTTTAGGATGCAATATTGTTTTTTATTTACAATCTTGGCTGAGAGTCACAGAAAATTTCAAGGGCTTCCACTGGCTTTTCATAATATAATAGCTCTTACTAACAGGTCAAAGAATTGAGGTGAGGTTTCTGCCAACTGCTGTGTCCATAAATGTCCCTTGGGCCATTTGAAAGTCATGTGAGATGTATGACAATTCTTTGTTTTCCTGACCTGTTCTGTGACCTGACCTGTGCTAGTATTGAGTTGAGTGTATGCCTCTAGCATCTCACGCAAACATTTCCAAAATACCTTCTGGGGAACAGTACCATCTCAGTTGAGAATC